GCCGACGTTGGCTGCGCCGTGGTGCTGCCGCGGGGCCAGCTTGCCGCCCACGTCCTGACCTGCCCGCTCGCACCCCTGCGACCCTTCCTTCTCCGCATGCAGGCGCTCGAGGCCGAAGTCGCCCAACTCAGGCCCTTCCGCCTCCGCACGCAGGCGCTCGAGGCCGAGGTCGCCAAACTCAAGCGGGCGCTCCGGCCCCGCGGCCGCTTCGTCCGCGCATGGGGCACCAGGGGGTCGGCCGACGCCCAGTTCAGCGCGCCGTGCGGCCTGGCCATCGCCCAGGGCCAGGGCGGCGGCCTAGTGGTGGTGGCCGACCACAACAACCACCGCGTGCAGGTGTTCGACGCCGAGGGCCGCCTGCGGGCCAAGTTCGGCGGCGAGGGCTCGGCGCTCGGGCGGTTCTACCACCCGCGCGGCGTGGCCACCCTGGCGGTGGGCGGCGGTGGCCGCCTCGTGGTGCTGGTGGCCGACCGCGACAACCACCGCGTGCAGGTCTTCGACGACCAGGGCCGAGTGCAGAGCGCGTTCGGCACGCAGGGCCGGCGCCACGGTCAGCTGGAGCAGCCGTGGGGCGTGGCCGTGGACCCGCAGCGCGGCCACGCTGTGTTCGTGAGCGACTCAGGCAACCACCGCGTGCAGGCGTTCGACCTGCAGGGCAACCACCTGCACTCGTTCGGCGCGCAGGGCGACCAGCCGGGCCAGCTGCAGCAGCCGTGCGGCATCGCCGTCGATCGCCGCCGCGGGCTGGTGTGGGTGGCCGACACCGACAACCACCGCGTGCAGGTGTTCGACGGCCAGGGCCGCTTCCTGCGCGGCTTCGGCGGCGAGGGCGCGGGCGAGGGCCGCTTCCAGTTCCCGCGCGACATCGTCGTGGTCGATGGAGATGACGATGATGACGATGACAGCACGACGAGAGTGTACGTGACGGACAACCACCGAGTGCAGATGTTCGACGGCCACGGGTGGTTCCTGGGCGCCATCGGGCGCGAGGGCCGGGCCGAGGGCTGCTTCGACCACCCGCGCGGCGTGGCGGTCGACAGCCAGGGCCGCGTCTTCGTGGCCGACAGCGCCAACCACCGCGTGCAGGTCTTCACCTTTGGCAAGTGAGCTGCCTCCTGCGCGGCCCACATGTATGATGATGATGATGAAGACGGTGATAAAGAATAAAGAGAGAGAAGGAAATGAAGAGAGACTGCATTGTGCAAGACGTCACGATCAGATCTGCTCTTCGCTCTTGAGGAACGGGTTGGGGATCTCCTCGGTGCCGTCGACCGGGCAGATGAGCATCACCGAGCTGCCCTTGCACACCGTCAGGCCCAGTCCTCGCGTGCGCACAGACGGCTTGTAGGGGTCGGTCGGGTCTGCAGGCAGTACACGGATGCAGCGCAGTTACATGCCCAGTTCGCACGATCAGTTGATCGGCAGCGAGGCGGATGCAGTGTGCAGATGGCATGCAGAGCAGGGGGGGATGATTACCTCGCAAAAATTCCTTGGTCTCATCGAGCACGAGATTCACCAGAGTATCGTAGCCCTTGAGCAGGCCCGTAACTACCATTTACAGAAATTGCCAAAATGAGAAAAGGCAAGATGTGAATGGAGGGGATCGTGATGATTTACCTTCGCGTCCACCGGAGAACTTGACGGTGACGCGCTGGCCCAGGTATCTGTCGAGATCAAGCACGGTCTTTCCCTGCATAGATGATCAGCAAACGCCCCCCCTTCCCTACAAGAGGCACAGTTGGAGCCGTACCTTGGCGGCCATCTTGTGTTGATGCTGTGTGGCAGGAATTATTTATTCTTCTTTTCATTTCTTTTTCTCCTCGTTTTAATTGAGATTGAAACTGCTGTAGAAGTTGGTTGGGCAACTCACCCGAAGTCATTGTTCTGCCAGCTGACCTCCAGCCTGTGCAAAGCTAGTCCACTTCGCTTGTGCCTCTTGTTGTGCCTTCCCCTTTCTGGCTTATCAGTCATATGAGCACCAACCCCCAAGCAGGACTGGCCCCTCTTCACAAGGTCACCTTCCTCCTGCCTCTCACTGGCTGGGAGCGGACTCGAACAGGGGGCGATCGGGTTGTAGCTGAGCTCCGGTAACGTGCGCCACAGCACAAGAAAAGAGAAAAGGGCAGGAACGTTACCGCGAGGAGTTTGGGCGGCCAATGCCGAAACGCCGGCGCCGCCGGAAGCAAGAAGAAAAAGGGGCCGGAGCGGGTCTTCTTCTTCTTTGTCCCAAACCGCACCATCACAGCAGCAGTCTACCAGACCTATACCAATCGTAACGCCACTCTCCTTCGAAAGAAGTCCCAATCCGTTTGCTCTCTAGCTCATGCTCCTCGCCGCTCTGCTCTCTAGCCCCTTTGCTCCTCGCGCTCTCCTAGCGATCGATCACCGAATTCCCACATGATCTGATACTGCTGCTGCTGTTGCTCTCCTTGATCATGATCTGAAGCTCTCGAGCGCCCAATTTGCCTAAATCATCATCTCCTCTACCTCCAAAGAGTCATGTCAGCCAAACTCTTTGTCGGAGGTCTTTCGTGGAGCACGGATGACAACAGCCTCAGGTCCGCCTTCGAGCAGCACGGTGAGGTCATCGATGGTATGCTCCTCCCTAACTCCTCCCCCACCGCTTTTTTTAACTTTTCATCTTTCGCTTACCCATCGTTACAATCTTGCAGCCAAGGTCATCCTCGACCGTGACACCGGCAAGTCGCGCGGCTTCGGCTTCGTGACCTTCTCCTCCGCCGATGAGGCTGAGGCTGCCAAGGGTGCCCTCAACCAGACCGACCTCGATGGTCGTGAGATCCGCGTCGACAGCGCCTCGGACCGTGACAGCGGTGGCGGCGGCGGCGGCCGTGGTGGCTTCCGTGGCGGTCGTGGCGGCGGCGGTGGATTCCGTGGTGGTCGCGGTGGCGGCTATGGTGGCGACCGTGGTGGCCGTTCCTCGTACGGCAACCGCGATCGTCCCTACGATCGTGACAACACCCGTGGCTCGTACAGCAGGAGGGACGACCGTGACGAGTAAGCGATTAGTGCGCATCTCTACTCTTCCCGGACGTTCAATTCTTCTTTCATCATCACACATTTTTCGGCATCTCCAAGATGTCGCGCGATCAGCGTAAGGCTGATCGTGTGTCATCGAAGGGATTCGGATATCGTCGAACTGTAAGTGTAATTAGCTCAAGTGACTCGAACCAATACAAACATTAAAAACTACTCTAGCCCATCAATCGTCATGACTCTTTTTCATTGCCTCCAACAAAGATTGGGCCAATTGTGGAATGGTAGTGTTGTTCATGTTACATCGATCGCGCAACGATCAGGAGGCGGAGGGTGAGCGAAGCAGGAGGTTGATGGAGTCCAAGGCCTTGGAGAGGATGGTGAGTCGCCGGCTGGAGTGCAGGAGGATGTCGTCCAGCGCGGCCTCCTCTTCGGGCGTCTTCTCGAAGATCTGGAGCAGCGACTGTGCGCTCTGCAGCTGGCCGTCCTCGTAGGCCATCAGGTTGCGGATCTCCTCGCTGAACTTGGCCGCGTTCCTCGGCGTCACGAAGTTGATGGCCTGGTCGCTCTCCGCATCTTCTTCCTCATCCAGCGCTCCGTCGCTCTTGCTCATGTTCGACCGCTTCTCCTTGCTTCACCCGTACCGCAGTAAGGTCACCACACGCACACGCGCACACGCACACGCACGACACAGGCACATGGCACATGGCACGCACGACACATGGCACATGAGGGAGGGGAGAGAGGTACAGGAGCTGATCGAGGGAGATTTGGGACCGTCGTTCGGCAAAGATGCGGTCGAGTTCGTCCGTGTAGACGGTCCACAGCTGGGTGAAGAGGAACGTGCGCATGAAGTTCTGGTAGTTGAGCGGGAACAGGGCGATCAGCTGCTCGAGCTGCTCGTGCGCCGAGAAGAGGAACGTCGTTGCCGACAGCTGCGGGAGCGACGACCCGAAGAGCGGCGTCATCGGCGTCAGCGTGAGCTTCAGCTCCGGCTGCTCGCCCGCCCGTCGGTTCGCCTCATCGCCGTCGCACTCATCGTCGCTGTCTTCGCCTCGTCGCGACGGCGCGGCGTCGAACGGCCGGTAGCGGCGGGTCGGCGTGGTGCGCGCCGAGTTGAGAAGGAAGAAGGCGGACGACGTGTGGAGCTGGAGCGGGGTCGAAGCCAGCTCGTCCTTCTCCTCCTCGGTGAGCGACGACAGGGCCGAGAGCGAAAACGAGCGCGGCCTGTGCGTGTACTCCTCCTCGTCGCCGTCGTCGTCGCTATCATCCGCGAATACGCTGTGGAGGCCGGGCAGGGCCGACGTGGAGAGCGACAGGAAGCGCGGCGCGGCGCCGATCCCTCCGCGCTGGGTCTGTGCAGCGGCGGAGGTCGTAGGCCTGCGGCTGGAGCCGGGCGTGGAGCCGGGTGAGGGGAGGAGCGGCATGGAGTCGGCGGTGGCGATCAGCCGGGCGGGCATGGTGGACAGCAGGTCGCGATTGCCGCCGAAGCTGCTGCGGCCGCCGCGCGTGCGGTGCACGTCGACCACCCGGGGCAGGTCGATCGAGAGCGCTCCTATCGACGACAGGGGCGGGAGCGAGGCGAGCGACGACGAGGTGCCCGGCGCGAGCGAGGCCCGCCGCTGGGAGAGCGACGAGATCAGCTCGTCGTTGAGCGGGCGCGCCCAGCTCGAGCAGTGCGGCCGCTGATGCTGCTGCTGCGAGGCGGCGGTGGTGGCGAACGTCGACGCGCGGCGCGATATCATGGCGTTGGTGCTCGCCACCGGTTGCGAGTCCGACCACGACGGGTAGCCGAACGCCGGCGGCGACGCCTGGTGGCTGGCCGGGCTCGCGTGGGCCGAACGCGGGTGCCGCCGCTGCGGGGTCGCAACACCGATAGCGCTACCCTTCGAGGAGCCGGGCGAGGGCACCGGGACGGCGGCGGCGGCGCGTTTCCGCTGGGGCGTGGTGGCCGGGATGTCGGGCAGGATCGAGGCCGGAACCGAGGTGGCGATGGCGTAGATGTGGGCGTAGTTGACCACCTCCGATATCAACTCCTCATGGTACCTACCACCACCACCATCATGTCAGCTCGTTCCCTCTTGTGTGTCGTTGGTCGTGTGCGTGTCGTGTGCATGTCGTGTGCGGTGGTGCGTGTCGTGTCGTGTGCGTGTGCGTGTCGTGTGCGTGTCGTGTCGTGTCGTGTGCGTGTCGTGTCGTGTCGTGTCGTGTCGTGTGCGTGTCGTGTCGTGTCGTGTCGTGTCGTGTCGTGTCGTGTCGTGTCGTGTCGTGTCGTGTCGTGTCGTGTCGTGTCGTGTCGGTTTGTAGTGTACCGCTGAACGATCTGCATGATCTCCTGTGTGGCGCGAGCCTCCTTCTTGGAGGTCTTGGAGGGCATGAGGATGTGGTCTCGCCGCTCCTTGGCCTTGTCCCGCTCCGACGTGAAGATCTTGTCGTACCACGGGGCCAGCTTGTCCGCGCTGCGTCGCCGTCGCCCACACGAACACGGAATGGTTGGAATGTAAGGGCCGGTTGTGCGAGTGTCGTGTGCGGTTGTGGTGTGGCCGTACAGTTCGCGCTCCTTGGGGAGGTTGGGGAGGTGGTAGGACGGCAGGGTCAGGGCGTCGTTCTCGACATCGAGCACCAGGCAGTCGCTACGCACGATGGCCTCCCTATCGGCATCCAACTTCTGTACTCCGATGATGAACGGAACTGGAATGTGCGCGTACATTGGTCACACGCGCAAACCAAGACCAACTTCTTCGGGTGGTGGGTGGCGGGTGGCGGTGTGGCTTACCAGGCGATTCAACGCATTCGTCCATATTGCTGGGGAGAATGGGGATGAACGGACCCTGCCACATGAGAGGCCGCAGCAGCGCAATGACCGACAACCTAGTCGACACACAACAAACAATTTATTAATATTTGAATCTTATGAATAATCTTATTAATAATATAATAATGATGAAATAAAAGAGAAACAGGAACGTGGGGCTGGCGTACACGACGTTGGCGAGAATGCCCAGATTCTTGCTGATGACAACCACCTTGAACTCCAGCACCAGCGCCCGCAGCAAAATAGTGAAGTGTTCGAGCGACACCAAGCGGAGAAGCGACGGCAAGCACCACTCGGCGATCGCCTTCTCCTCCTCTCCTTTCTGTTTGTTGACGCGCGACAACGCAACACGACACACGACACGACACGACACACAACCAACGACACGACACAAATCAGATCCCGTAAGGCCCGGTGGGGTGGTCCGCCTACCGGTGTCACGTAGAGCTTGCCCTGCTTGCGTCGATTGCGAGGCAGCTTGGCCGCGAAGCTCTCCAGGCTCTTGGCCTCGGTGGCGTAGTACTCGTTGAGCACGTCGAGCACCTTGTTGCGCTGCCTGACCCGGGCCGCCTCGTCGTCCTCCGTCTCGCCCTCCGTCTCGCCCTCCTCGTCTTCCTCCCCCTCCTCCTCCTGCTGTTGCATGAACGACTGGTTTTTGATGAGGGCCGAGCTGCGCCTCGCCTTCCGCTCGCCCGGCGAGAGGGTCAGCATCGCCGACCTCCGCTTGGTGGGCGGCGTGGTCATCGCCGCTCGGCTGCCGCCGCCCTCCTTATGGCCGCCCGAGCCGGGCGTGGTCGTCGTGGTGGGCTCCTCAGTGGTCTCCTCGATCGTCTCCAGCAGCGACTCGCGCGCGATCGCCGTGTTGCGCATGATCGCCGACACGTCGCTCCGGTTGCGTCGGTGTCCCTGCAGGGTGTCGCAGTGGGCTCATCAGTCATGGCCCAGCGTGTGTGTTGTGTGTGTGTGTTGTGTGTGACCTGTGTACATATACGAGGGAGGAAAGGGTACCAGTCGTGCCGGCGGCGGGGTGACCTGGTTGGGCTGCGACTGCTGCGGCAGCGGCTGTTGGGCGTGGTGCACGCTCTCGATGATTCGATGAATCTTCTCGTCGTACTCCTCCTTGGTCTTGAGCTTCTTTTCGCGCGACTTCTTGGCTTGCGCTTGGATGATGGCCGCGTGGTGACTCTGCAGCCGCTTGATCATGTCCTCGCTGGCCTTCTTCTTCTGCTCGTCATCGCCGCCATCCGCACCACCGCTGCCCGTGGCATTGTTGTCAACGGCAGGCTGGTTGCTGCTGCTGCTGCTCGATGGGGAGCGGAAAGGCGCAGTCTGCGTCGTCTCGGTCACGGTCCGACTTCTGCCGGGACTGTACAAAGACGTCTGTCCGCCACTTCCGCCGCCGCCGATGGCCGAGTGAAAGTCATGCAGCCTCTCCTTCATCGCGTCCATGCTCTCCACACTCTTTGCCCGCATCGCTGCAGCCGTAGACCACTGGTCAGCCTCTGCTGGAGAGAAAGCGCGGAGCTGTTCGGAACGGAAGGGAGGGTACCACGAGGCACGGAGATCAGACTCTCGTCGCCTCCGGTCACCTTCCATTCCTCTGTCGGCGGGGGAGTGGCCGACACTCGCAGAGTCGGAACCACCAGGGACTTACGAGGCGTGCCGCTCGGCGAACCTGTTGTTGGTCCGCGGCCCACTCGGTTAGGTTTCGCCTCGATCGCGTATGACGACACTCCTGGGTGTAACCGTACCGGCCTGACCCTTGTTCTTCTTGCTGAACCAACTGCCCAGGTTGCTGAACCACTTGGAGTTCATGTCGCCGTCGGACTTGGCCACGGCCACCGATCGCTCCCGCTTCTTTCGCGCGATGTACTGCTCTCGCCGCACCGTGGCGCTGGCATTGTTCTTCCTCTCCAGTTCTGGCGTCATCGGGCGCGATCGCAACAATGCACGCGTCAGCATCCACGTGGCAGCCGTTGCTTCACCAGATAACACGCGGCGCGACGGTGGGAGTTGGTGGACGACTTACCCAGGAGATGGTAGAGCATGTTGAAGTGGAGTTGGAAGAAGGGGAAGCGGGTGATGAAGCAATAGACGCGAGGCGCCGCCATATCATACTCCAGGTCCTCCTTCGACAGGCCATCGGGCGGCGAATAGGCCGGTCCTCGCATGAACGATGGCTTGTCGATCGGCTGCGCGACGGTGTGCGTTCAGTGCGCGAGGCAAGGGGAGTGGCGCCGAATGACGAGCCAAGCGGTATTAGGGAGCAGGAGGAGTGGGTACCGAGAGTAGTTCCTCCTGGCTGACGCACACGCCGTAGAGGAATTGACCGTCGCCGGTCATCAGGAATATGTACGAGTGCTCCGAATTGCTCAGGTCGTCGATGGGAAACAGGATCTTCTGCTCCAGCTTCTCGCTTGACTTGGCAGTGCTGCGTGGTTGGATCCACGGCTGCACCTGCACAGACCGAGCGCACATATTAACAGCACAGCACAGCACAGCGCGCTTGAATGAGCTCAACTACAAAGGTGAAAGCAACCACCACAATCGTCGTCGGTACCTTGTTAGGGAAGCAAAAGTGCACCACGGCGTCTTCGACGAGGCTCGATCGCTTGCTGTCCTCCTCTGGGTACTGTCCGCGGAGAGGAGCAAAAGTAGGGTAAGAGAGCGCGTTGCAATCGACAACGGTGTGGGCACGTGCCTTGTACAGGATGGTCGGCGCGGCGAGCTGCTGCTGAGGAGGCACCTTCGGGTTGACGCGCACCGATGGTGGCCACCCGACGACGATGAAGTGTTCGAACAGGTGACCCTTGCGGCTCGGCCGAACTGCCTCCTGCAGATCGAGGGCAGTGCGCCTGGATACGCCCACACGGTGGTAAATCACTGTTGTGAGCGCAACGGTGTGGTGTCGGCCAGGGAGCAGGAGTAGTACGCAACTTGTGCAGCTCACTCAAGGCCCTATGGCCCAGAGATTGGTTCAGGGAGACACGCTGGAAAATGCGTAGCGAATGAAAGATGAAGGTGAGACTTTCGAAAAAAATGCTCAAAAAGAGCGTAGAAGGTCGTCCAGATGCAAAGGAGGACGAGCATACGTTCAAGAAATCTCGCTTGGCCTGTATCTTACGCACGGCCGCTTGCCGTCGCTGCTCGACGAGAGTATTTGATTTGGGCCTTTGATCGATGGAGCTCATTTGTCGTGGCCGCGAGCCCAACCGAGGCGGTGCCTTCCTTCCCCCACCGCTCCCCTTGTACGGCGAGCTGTCCGCCTCCATTCCTCTTCAGTTCTTGCGCCCACCTCCTTGCCGGTTTCTGATTATCCTGTATTTTCCTTGATCTTTTCTCTCGCCGCTTTTTTGTGTTCATTTATTTCCGTGCCTTTTCCTCAACCCGCACTGTCGATAGTTGTTTACTCTTCCCGACGGACCACCAGGTGCCGCCGCTGTACTGCTCGTCTTTCTCGCCTCCGGCACCCAAGGGGCAGACCAGACGACGATGCCAGCGCTGCTTGACGCGTTCAGGCTCCGCGGCGAGTCCACGGCGGAGAAGGCCGTGATGCTGGCGGTCTCCACCTTCGTCATGCTCACCACCACGGGGTCCGTCTACGGCTGGTCCCCCATTCTCCTCATTCTCCAGGAGCTCGGCGTCTACAGCGAACTGTGCACCGGCGACGACACACCCCAGCCCGGAGACGGAGACATCACCACAGTACGCCTTATTATTTAATTGCTGTATTTGTTATTATTATTATTATTATTTAAAAATAAATAATAAATAATATATGTGTGCTAACCTGTAGTCATATCACGTTTGTTGACTTCGCCACCCAGTGCGAGGCCCAGGACCTGCGGCTCAACCTGATCTACACGGCGGCGGTGATGTCGCTCGGCCTGACTACCCTCGGCTGGGGCATCATGGTGGACTGGCTCGGACCCCGGGTCATTCTCCCGCTCTCCTCCGTGTTCTTCGGCGCCGGTTGCCTGCTGTTCGCCTTCTCCCGCCCGCAAGGTGCGTGCTCGTGCTCACCCTCCAACTCCGACTTCGCCGTGATCATCAGCACCAACTGCTGTCGGCTAACTCCGACGCTCTGCCACACAGGATTCGATGCCTATGCGATTGGGTTCGTGGGCATTGCTGCAGGTGGGTGTGGCATGTTCTATGGTCTCGTGCGGCTGAGGTACGTGATCGCACACACATGGACCATTTGGAGGGCCTTACCTTACTCATGCGCTGTTGAACGCGACACAACACAATCAGTGAGCTGTTCGGCAAAAGGAGGGTCACTGTGCTTGGCATCTACAGCGTGGCCTTCGATGCCAGCACTGTTGTGTTCCCTCTTTATGGGGTACGCGCCACAACGCACCCGCGCATGCTGGGGCGTACACACACAGGACTGACAGGTTATTTGATCTCCACACGTGCAGCTTGTGTACAAGGCCACGGGATTCTCCCTACAGAGCTTCTTCATCGCTTATTCCTCTATATCCATCATCGTGCTCCTTTGCGCGGTCATGTGGCCGTTGGCCCTCTCCACCCCTCAGGAGACCATCAAAGAGGTGGAAGGTAGCGCTCATCCTCGCACACACACACGCACAACCGCACACGCAACTGAGCACCTCGATGCAAACCATCAGATGAAGAAGGCGTGCTCGAGGCCAAGCAGAGGAGCGACGAGGCACTACCGCTGCTGGGTCTCTCCGGCGAGGGAGACATCGGCGTGGCCCAGCTCCACACCGTACCGATGTCGGAACGGCCGTTCAAGGAGCAGATCGCGTCCCTCGACTACTGGGTCTTCGTCGGGTACATCGCCGTGTCCGTGCTCTGGCTCAATATGTACATCGGCACCATGCCCATCCAGCTCGAACGCATCACCAGCGACCGTGCCACTGGTACGCTGCCACCCTCCACCGGCTCACGCACGCACGCACGCACGCACCGAACACGCCGGCGCTCCTGACCACTCACTGGTGCATCGTGCAGTGGACTTCTACGTTGAAGTGTTTTCATGGCTCCTGCCCGCGGTCTTTATCGTGGGTCCGCTCATCGGTTGGGGCGTAGACAAAGCTGGTACGCACACTCACCCTCGCTCATGACCCATTCACCACCGGTGGCCGTCCGCGGTCTCACTCAGGCGAGCGTGCGGTGGGCAGGTATCGTGGGGTCGGTCGTATCGGTGCACGTGTGTGCGCTCGCCTTCTCTGGGCTCAAGATCGTGCCCAGCCTCGAGCTGCAGTTCGCCACCTTCGTCGTTCTCTCTGTCTATCGAGCGCTCTTCTACACCGCCATGATCGCACTCCTCATCGAAATGTACGCTCACAGCCAACACACCAATCGATCAATATCTTACCGACCAACCCTCACCATCATGTTATGGTTGCTGGTTGATGATGTTGCCACAACAACACAAAAGGTTTGGCTATGGCAACTTTGGCAAGCTGTGGGGCTTCTGCATCTTCTTCGCCGGGTGCATGAACTACGCCCAGCAGCCCTTCCTGGTCATCGCCTACGAGCTGGGCTCCTTCTACTACATCGACCTGGCCCAACTGGCCTCCATGCTCCTCCTCACCTTCTATCCCCTCTTCCTCTACCACCGATTGCCACGGCTCACATAACACTTTTATTTATTTATTTTTATTTATTTTGGGTTTCTTTTTATGTGAACGTTTGGGTCAACGATCGAACGCCACTCGGCAACAACACAAGAAGCAAGAGAGATGTTGGAGTTGGTAGTGGTGGCAGTGGTGATCTGGTTCGTCTACCTGGCCTTCATGGCGGTGCTGGGCAAGGGTGGATCTGGCACATCGTCTGGCGGTGGATCGTCATCGGGTGCAGGGTCGTCGGCAGGGTTCACGACCATCGCGGACAAGTACGAGACCATCGAGGAGGTGCAGGAGCATCTGCGCCGAGCCGGCCTCGAAAGCTCCAACCTCATCCTTGGCATCGATTACACCAAATCCAACGAATACAACGGCCGGTACCCCATCCCTTCATCCAACGTCGCAATTCATTTTTTTAGGCCTTTGTTTTGATATTGATTGTTTTAATCTATTTATTTATCAACTTATATTATATTTTTCTATTTATTTATCTCTTATTTGTGAGTGTAGAAGGACGTTTGGCGGCAAGTCGCTGCATGACCTGAAGGGCCAAAGTGGACCCAACCCGTACGAGCGCGCCATCGACATCCTCGGCCGCACGCTGGCGCCGTTCGACGACGACCACCTCATCCCCGCTTACGGCTTCGGCGACATCACCACCAAGGACATGTACGCATGAGCGCACGCTTCAGGCTCGCTGAGGGCACTGCTGATCTTTCTCTTCGTGTGTGTGTGTGTGTGTGTGTGTGCACCGTCGATCACTGCAGTGGCGTGTTCCAGTTCTTCCCCGACGCGCGCCCGTGTCGTGGCCTGGAGGAGGCCCTCGCACGCTACCGGGAGATCACTCCCTCGGTTCAGCTCAGCGGTAATTCGTCATTTCTTCACTTCCTCACCCGCACGCGTGTGCATGTGCGTGTGCGACCGCAATTTACTGATGAGTACATGGCTTTGTGTCTCCTCGTGTTGCAATTGGCGCCGTGGCCACGTACAGGTCCCACTTCCTTGTACGCGTCCTTCCGCCCCACTGGTCGTGCACGTCAAACGACGAAAAGAATTCGCTCGCTCACCTTTGTTTTGTGGGTGAACGACCAGTGCGCCGGTCATCTATGAGGCCATCCGCCTTGTGCGTGAGACGCGCTCCTACCACATTCTCATCATCGTTGCCGATGGCCAGGTGGGTTTTCCATCTCCAGTCTCTCCTAGGCCCAGACACTGAGCGTGCGTGCCGTGTGCCGTGTGCCGTGTGCCGTGTGCAGGTGACCAGCGAACGGGAGACGATAAACGCGATCGTCGAGGCCTCGAACTATCCGCTCTCCATCGTTGTGGTGGGCGTGGGCGATGGTCCCTGGGAGACCATGCAGGAATTCGACGACGGTCTTCCTTCCCGCAAGTTTGACAACGTAAGCCCACCTGCTCCCTCCCTCACGCTTCTGTACTCTTGTTGGTTGCATTGGCTGTTGTTGTTGTTGTTGTTGTTGGCGCTGACCTTCGCGCCTTCGCACACAGTTCCAGTTCGTCGAGTTCAACAAGGCCATGCAAGGCAGACACCCCGAGGTACATCTCACGTTTCGCGCTACCACGAACGTATTCTACTTCATTCGCTGTCAACTCACCACCTTCACTTTCACTGCCACGACACAGACAAGCTTTGCCATCGCTGCGCTGACGGAGATCCCGGAGCAGTACCAGGCCATCAGGAAGCTCGGGCTCCTGTGAGCACGTTCGCCCAAGGTGCCGGGCATCTGGTCACGCTGTAATCTTGATCTATTCTAACGAAGGCAAAACAAGTACAGCAAAGCTGCGAACAAGGTCTGAGATGATGGGCGCGTTGAGCACACATGACATGTTTTGTTTGGCTTAGAGCCTGGCCTTACGCAGGCCCACACCGTCACCTGCACGCCACCAAATCATCTGCGTTAGAGAGCGCTTGGGGCTCTGCGCGCGCGGGTGACGTGCGGAGCACACATACCGTCCTGCTCTTCGATGAAGAAGTCAGGCCAGAACTCCTTGGTGCCGGGCACGTAGGCGTAGTGGTCGAAGTTGGTCTGGCCCACGGCGCGCAGCACCTTCTCGTCGACGAAGAAGTTTCCCTGCAGCAGCGAGCGAACATGAGTGTGCGCGTGTGCGTGTGTGTGACCAACGATCACTGTGGACACGCGGGTGGTGCGAACAAACGTACGGTACACTCGGTGGCGGGCGAGGTGAGGATATAATAAGCAGCGTCGCCCATGATGTCGGGTGTCCTGCACTGGTTCATCAGGTCATCTCCACCCAGCACGTTTCGGATGGCCGCAGTCGCTGCTCACACAGACGCCAGGGGAAGTCAGACAGGTGTGGTGAGAATAGTGCGCGCTGGCGGGGAGCGGGTGAGCACCGATGCCGGTCTTGGGCCAGAGGGCGTTGACAGCAACCCCTCTATCCTGCATTGTGGAAATGGGGTGAGCTGTGCCAGGAAGAAAGAAAACCGCTCGCGAGAACACGACTCGCAACACGTCACGCAAACCTTGAACTCGGCGGACATGCCGAGCACGCACATGGACATGCCGAACTTGGAGATGGTGTAGGCCGTGTGGTCCTTGAACCACTTGGCGTCGATGTTGAGCGGAGGCGAAAGGGTCAGGATGTGCGGGTTGCGACCTGCATCGACCACCCAGACACGCAGACACGCACACGTTTGTGTCACACGCTACTGCTCACGCACATATCCGGGTGCGCGATGTGCGTGGGTGTGGGTGGTACGTACCCTTCTTGGCGCTCTCGATGAGGTAGGGCAGGCACGCCTGCGAGGTGATGAAAGTGCCGCGCGTGTTGACGCCCTGCATCAGGTCATACCTCTTCACCGGCACGTCCAGCGTACCTGCCCAGGAGTATGAGCTTCGCACGCTCACTCGCGAGCGTGCCGCTACACAGGAAAAAAAAGATGATGTTTCATCATACCTTTGGGAAAGATGGCCGACGCGTTGTTGATGCAGATGTCGATGCCGCCAAAGTGCTTGGCGCCCTCCTCCACCGCCTTCTTTACGTCCTCTTCGTTGCGGATGTCGCACTTCAGCGCCAGCGCCTGCACAAAGCCATTGTTGAACAACTGGTCACGCTCAAAAAGGCAAGCATGGGAAAAGAGGCGCTACCTTGCCGCCAGCGGCTTCGATTTCCTTGGCCGCAGAGTAGATGGTGCCGGGGAGGGCGGGGTGCGGCGAGTCGGTCTTGGAGGCCACGATGACATTGGCGCCCTCCTTTGCGGCCCTGCGCAAGTAGTGAATATTCGAAATCAGTCTTTCTCAGTATACGTCTTCATACAAAGACGTTGAGTTACCTCAGGGCAATGGCGAGACCGATGCCTCGGCTCGCGCCAGTGATGAAGATGGTCTTGCCCTTGAGCCCCAGGTCGATCTTGTTGCTGTTCATTACGTCGCGTGTTGTTTGAAAAAGTGTTGGAAAGAAATGTAAAAGAAAACCCGGGAAATGTGTGCTGATTCGCATTCTTCAATTTTTAGGTAATTCATTTCAAGGTGGAGCTCTTGTGTGTTGGCCCGAACAAAAGGGGGGCTGAAGGAGATGGATTCGATGATTAGGAGAACCTTCTCGGTGGGGTCGGATACAAGAAATGGTGGGAGCTCTGCCTCTTCGCTCTCACCAACGACTGTGGTGACACCCGCACAGGCCACCAACAACTTCGTTGGGCGACGGCGTAGCGCGAGCGAGAGCGGAGGCGAGTGGCGGGTCGCCATTAGCGCCACCCATCGCCGCCAGACCAGCCCCGACCAATGGACCCTCGTACCCCCCCCCTTTTCTTCGTTCTTCGTTCTTTTTTCGCTTTCGCTCTTTGCCCCTCCTTCTCTTTCGTTCTTCTTCGCATTCAGCTCACGCGTTTTGCAGTACTTTGAGGTGGCGGTGGAGAACGAAAAATATACATGGAGCGTGTTGAAGAGCGAGCGCCAGTTCGAGGATCTGCAAGCCCTGGTATGCTCGCGAGCTGCTTCGTTCGTTGTGCGGTTCGTTCAGCTGAACGTGCGGTGCACAGTTTCTGAGGGAAGATGGAAGGCGTAGTCTGCGTAAGTGTGCGCGAGGGGCCAGCACCTACATGCAGGCCTTCGAAGTGCTCGACCCCTTCTTCGTGGAGACCAGGTCCGATTCTTTCTCAGCACACGCACACACGCACCACCGCATACACGCGCGCACACATGCTAACGCCCTGATGGGCGCGCGACAGGCGGCGGACGTATGAGCAGGTGCTGGTGGCATTCGTCCTTTTCGCGCTGAACAGGTCGATATCTTCATCTACGGCGTCGGCCCTTTGGTCCTTCTTGGATCCCGCCTACGAGGTTCCTCTCTCCCCGAACTATGTGCTGTGTGTGTGTGTGTGTGTGGTGAATAGTGAGTTTGGGCTTAATTGGAATTTCATGGCTACCCAGAGGGCCATGAGCTTTCTCGATTCCTACCAGAAGGAGGGTCCCATCCAGTTCTTCAAGAAGTCGGGCAAGTGGAAAGCCCTCTGGTGCTCCCTCGCCCTCACATGATAACTCATCATCCGCATCTTCCTCTTGAGTCTGACACCACTGCCTTGGACAGGGTGTACCTCAAGAACGGCTTCCTCTGCCTAACCAAGATGCAGGGCGTACGTGACTCTCACTTGCGCTTGGTCATGGCCTCTTCTCGCTCACTGTGTGTCGTGTCGTGTCGTCGTGTGCGTCGTGTGTGTCGTCGCGTGCGTCGTGTGTGTCGTGTGTCGTGTTGACCTCTTGCAGGACAAGCGGTGTAAGAAGTTCATCCCCGTGCACCACTCGGTGCTCGCCGCCGCCGCGAGCCAAGACCTCGCGGGCAAGTTCGGCATCGCCCTCACCACCGGCACCTCCCTCCAAAAGGTTCCCACTCTCCCACCATAAAAGCTGTCGACTTATTAACTCACTCGCTCCTATCGTGTCGTGTGTGTCGTGGCATAGTGCTATCGCTTCGCGTTCAACACATCGGCCGAGCGCAAGTCGTGGATGGTGGCCATCTTCGAGGTGCAGACGCGCTTCTTCGAGTTCAACCCCTTCCGCGAGCCGACCGGTGACGAGCAGGACGAGTCCAACGACACCCCCACCGGCCCCTCCCTCCCCGGTGGCGCCGCCGCCAGCGGGCGCAGCCCCACCCTCTCCCAGTCCGATCCACAGTTCTCCCGCTCCCTGCCCGCGCTCCACCTGCGGCCCACGGCCCACTCCGCCTCGTCGTCGCCTTCGCCGTCGTCCACCTCCCTGCGCGCGCCATCGCCCATCTCGACGTCGGCGTCGGCGTCGACGCAAAGCACTCACCGACCGGTGGCGTCGGCGTCGTATCGCGGGGGCGTCGTGGGCCAGGCGGCGACCATGCGATCGCCACCGGTGGCGCCCGCTCGCTCGGCCCGCGGCCCTTCACCTTCTTCTTCCGTCTCGGCCATCGCCGGTCGCTTCAGTCCACAGCCCGGGTCGACCACAAATCAGCCTCACGTGCCCGCGGCGACCCTGCGCCCGGCCACGGCCCAGCCCGCCGCGGCCCTGCCTCAGGCCCCGGCCGCCCAGCAGCGATCATCACCGCAGCCGATCGTTGGCACCAATCAGGTCAGATCGACGCTGCTGGCCGCGCAGCAGCAGCAGCAGGGACCAGGGCAGGTGGTCAGCCGGTCGCCGCCGCGCTCCGGGCGCGCGGGCACCAAGCGACTGCCTCCGCCGCCCGGTCCGGTGAGCAGCCTCGCATGCAAGCACCCCTCCCAGCGCTTCACGCCCGAGGAGATGAGCCTCCTCTGGGACGCGCTCGAGGGCGAACAGAGTACGCGCTCTTTCCAATCACTGCATAGTTCATTTTTTGCATTCTCTGGCTCACAACATTCCACGCGACTGCAGAGGAGATGATCTACGACGCACGCTCGCAGGACTCGCGCACGCTCGAGGGTCGATTGAAGATGCAGGGTGCGTGCTGCGTGTGTTGACAAATTGGTCAGTGTTAACTGGCATGATTGGAATGTGAACAACAATACAGGGAGAAAGCTGAAGCGGTGGAAGGAGTACCTCTTCCGAATGGACCGCGCGGGAGCCATCACCTACAACCCGCCCGCCGGTCCCATCAAAGACAAGCGGCGAATTCCTCTTCGGGTGCGAACGCGGCCTTGAAGCGAGTCCTCTCAGCACGCACCACACACGCGCGCATGCCACTCACCGCACTCACGCGTTCACTGACCGACAGGGCGCGTCCGTCATCGAAGCCGAGGCCGAGGGAGTCTATGCGTGGAGCGTGGTCACGCCCAGCAGGTGCCTACCTGTTGCTTTTTCCCTCATTTTTCCTGATCGACTCGCAGTCGTCGATTCATTTCCTCTCTTTTTTTTTCTTCGCGTCCGCGCTAGGCAATTCACCATCGGCGCCGATACGGAAGCTGCCAAGATCGAATGGATGCGCGCCACTCAGGACGCCATCAACCAGGTCATGCTGGTCGAACGGGTTTGGCCTCAAATCTCTTTTTTCTTTTTCTCTGTGCCCACGCTGCTCACGACACACGCGATGCGACGCAGGAGGGACTGCTTCAGCGCAACTCTGCCCAGAACGAGATCAAGGATGTCTCCTCGCGTACCTCCCCCCTCCCTTCGCTCTTTTTTGCGGCGTCGCTTTCGTTCTTTTAAAAATGACTCCGCCGCTTGGGTCGAGCAGGGTCGGCTGTGGCCGACTATCCAAAGGCCGCGAGCGGCGACGCGCAGATGGTCAAGGCCGCAACCCTCGAGGCGCTGCTCAAGCACCTCTTCTCGCCCGAGTGCGATCTCATCTTCTTCAAAACGTTCCTCCTCACCTACCGCTCCTTCACCAAGCCCGAGAGCTTCTTCGAGACCCTCAAGCGCTGGTGCCCCTTTCTCTCTTTCACAAGCGCCGCGTTTCCATTCATTCCTCACATTCCTCATATTTCCCCCTCTGCCCAGCTTTGCGACGGGCAAAGTTGAGGTGTCGTCGACATCGTCGGCGTCTTCGCCTGCGGCGTCAACGTCGCCACAGTCGGGCCTGCGAAACGGATCCTTCTCGGGAGGAATCGCCGCCAAGTTCCCGCCCGCCACCAGCCCGCAGGCCCTCGCCCTCGTCTCGCCTCGGTACACCGCACGACGCTTCCCTGCTTACAGTCGGCCGACTCACCACCGCACCACCGCACATGCACCGCCGCACACGCACACGGCATCGCACCACCGCGCACACACACTTTCAGGGAGACGGCGTCAAACCGGCCCAGAGGAGGCACGGCCTCGGCGGCGGAGAAGAAGGGGAAGAATGACGAGCTGCTGGGCATGCAGCAACGGGTCTGCGTCGTGCTCAAGCAGTGGATCGCCGTCGGCTATGCCGACTTCTCCGGTACCTTCTCCCCCTCTCCCTCGATTGTCGTTCCTGCAAACGCGGCCCTGGTACTCACTCACCCATCGCACACACGACACGACACGACACGACACGACACGACACGACACGCACCACCGCACACACACGCAGTGAAAATGAAATCGGCGATGATGGCGTTTGTGGAGGGGCAGCTCACGAGCGACTATGCGCTGGTCAAGGAGACCAAGGAGCTGCGCGCGGTGCTTCAGTACCAGATGGGCAACGAAGCCGCCCGCAATTCGCTCTTCATCGCCGTACACATCCACCCCGCACCCCTCCAACGCAGGCGAAGCGCCTAACCGTGTAGTTGGTGTGTGTGTCGTGTGTGTTGTGTGTTGTGTGTCACCAGTCATCGGCCAGGAGAAGCGGCAGTTCTCGGACATGTCGGCCGAGGTGGTCGCCCAGCATCTGACGCTCATTCAGTTCGAATACTTCAGACGCATTCGGGTACCCCGCCCCGCGACATGTCACTCACGCAACACGCAACACACATGGCCGCACATGGATCACATGGCGGCACGCAACACACGACCGCGTGTTCGTGATTAATGACTTTCTCCTCTTCTTCTGCTTCTTCTTCCGGTGTGCAGGCCCACGAGTTTTTGAATCAGGCGTGGAACAAGCCGCCGATGAAGACCATCTGCGCCAATCTGCTCAGCTCGATCGATCACTTCAACGAGGTGAGCCAATGGGTACGTCGTGCCTCTGGAGCTTCATCGACGACGATGAGCCCTCGATTCGCTTCTTTTAAAAGAAATGACAATTGCTCTGTGTTGACGCGTCCCTCGACGTCCTGGACCAGGTGGTGCACACAATTCTGTGCGAAACGGCGCTCGCCGAACGCGCCAAGCTCCTCTCCAAGATGATCCAAATCGCTGAGGTACTTGGCAACTAATCACACTTACACTTTGATGCCACGTCAGCAATGACAATTGACATGTGGGTCGATCGGCCTAAACCTCGCTGACTCACTCGCGTACGGGTGGTGCGTGTGGATGTCGTGGTCAGCTGCTGCTGAAGTACAACAACTTCTGCGGGGTGATGGCGTTCGTGGCTGCGTTCCATTCGGCCGCCGTTTCCCGTCTCAAGCGCACCTGGGAGAAGGTGTCCTCTTCACAGCGCAAGGTAAACCGGACGAGCGCTTTCAGATCTACATCACACGACACACATACACACACCACCGCACACGCGAGAAGAGGCCACATGACTTAATAGCGACTGTACAGGTGGTGGACAAGTTGACGGAGATCTTCTCGCCCACGCAATCCTTCAAGAACTACCGCGCAGCGATCCGCAGCGCCAAGCGCCCGGGCTGTCCCTACGTGTAGGCCTCCCCCCTCCGCTTTCGCTTTCGCTCTTTCGGCTGCGGGGTTAATCTTGGCACGCACGCTACGCACCGCACCGCACCGCACACAGAGGCACGTTCCTGATGGACCTGGTGTACCTCGAGGAGGTCAACCCGGACACGATCATGAGCGGCACGCGCGAGCTCATCAACTTTGCCAAGCGACGCGCCATCTACGAGGTCATCTCCCAAGTGCTCTACTTCCGCGACGAGCCCTACTCCTTCAAGGTACATTCATATATCCCTTTTCCGCCTTTATCCCACCTCTTGCTCTGACGATCGGTTCATGTGTCGTGCGTGTCGTGCGTGTCGTGTGATGGTGTTCGGCAACAGGTGGACCAAGCGGTGGGTGATTCGTTGGCGAGCATGCTGGCATCGAGCGAGGTGGTGCGCGACCCGGAGCGGCTGTCCGAGATCAGTCGTCAGATCGAACCCAAGGAACAGCAAGGGCGACCCTGAAACAGCCGCGCCGGAAGCCACACATGTAAATAAAAATAATAATCATTACTGGAGCGCGTGTGCGTGTGCGGTGGTGCGCACGTCTTTCAAGAAAATACAACAGTTTCCGGTCGAGGTGGTGTTAGTGGCTCCTCTTCCTCTTCCTCTTCGTCATCATCATCGCCAGCGTCGACGTCGTCTTCGTCTTCGACATCGTCGTCGTCGTCATCGTCCTCTTCTTCGGCGAGCTCCTGCTCGAGCCGTCGGATTTCGTCTTCGATGTCCTCCGCCTCCTTCTCCGCGTTCTCCGCCTCGCGCTGGCTCTCCTCGAGGAGCCGCTTGGCCGCCTCGCTCCCGTCGTCGCCCTCCTCCCGGTAGGCCGGCCGCTTCGCCCCGCCCGAGAACACCCCCTCCACCAGCCGCCGCTTCGCCTCGAACGCACGCTTCGCGCCCGCCTCCGCCACCGCCGCTCCCGCCGTCGCGTCTGCCTCGTCCCGCTGCGGCTGCGGCTGCTTGGGGCCCTTGGGGCTGAGCGGCATGCGCGCGGGCGGCTCGAGGTCCTGCGACAGAACGGCCCGCATCACCACCACGTCGTCGTCGGGCGTCAGCTCCGCCCCACTCGTCGTCGCAGCGGCCTCTGCCTCCTCCTCCTCCTCGAGCACCATCGGCTCTGAAGAAGTTTGTTCGTTGGCTGTCGTGGTGGTGTCGCTCACCAACACGACGGGCGTGGGCGCCGCCGCCTCGTCGGCCACCGCCACCACTTCGTCCACAACAGGCGCTTCCTCCCTCACCTCTTCTTCTTCATCTTGCTGCTGGTGGTGGTGGTGGTGGTGGTGCGCCTGTGTGGTGGTCTGCTCCTCGAGGACCGCGTAGCCGATGGGCACGGGCTCCGACATGAGGTCCTGCACGACCAGAGGCGTCTCTGTCTCCATCGGGGCTGGCGCTGATGACGTGGGAGCCGCGGCTTCTTCTTCTCCTCCTCCTTCTTCTACGTTCGCCGTCTTTTGCTTCTTCTTGTTGTTGTCGTGCGGTACTGCCTTCGGCGAAGTCTGGTCATCGTCGCCATGCTTGCGCGCCTGGTGATGGCTGTGCTGCTGACGAGGCGCCGCGTCCTCCTCCCATTGCTGCTGCTGGTGCGGGGTGCGCTTGCGGGAGGAGCGCTGCGAGGCCGGTGACGACTGACCGCTACTGCTGCCACCACTACTGCCGCCGCTACGCGAAGCGAGGGCGGGCGATGGCTGCCCTCTCGGCCTAGCCGAAGCCCGCGAGGCGGCCTCCCCTTGCCCTTCAACAGAAAGACATCGATGAGATTGGTTGAAGGTTTCTCGTTCCTGGATCGAAAGAGGAAGAGAGATTCGAGAAAGCGCGATTTTGAGAAGTGGTACCTTGGCGTGAGGCGCGGGAGCCGAGGAGAGGCCGCGTGTCGTCGAGCGGCTCTGCTTCTGTCGATTGGCAACACCCCATCTTGGACGCGCCCTCGATTGGCGCCGATCGAGTTAGCCTCAAAATGGCCCAAGAAAAGTGAGATCCCAGTCTGGAAATATCCCCCAAAATGATATAAATTGATTTTTTACAAATTTATCCTGATTTTTTCATTATTTTTTTCATTATTTTTTTCAGTTATTATTGATTGATCCATTCTGAAGGAGTCGAGGCTTGAAAGAGGCACTAATTAAAGAAGGTGAGAGAATGAGATCGGCAGTACTGAGAAGAACGCAATCACATGTCATTCGCGGTAGCGCGACGGCTCATCAGCTGGGCCAGCGCGGACTCGCGACGGCGCGCCCGCTGCAGGGCATGCTCAACTACGACGAGTTCAAGCGGGCGGTGGAGGCCGAGGAGTTGGACACCGTGATTGTGGCCTTCACCGATCTCACCGGTCGTCAGCTGGGCAAGCGCTACGACGCCGAGTACGTGCTGGACCACTACCACGACTTCGAGTCGCATGCCTGCGACTACCTGCTCACCATCGGCGTCGACATGAACCCGCTCGATGGCTTCAAGGCTGCCAACTGGTTCGCCCCCAAAATTCACCCAATTAATCTCATTTGCGCCTTTCATTTATTTTATTTTATTTCAGCCCGATTTAAAGTTAATCTCATTTTGAGCAAATTTAGCGCAACAATTAAGCTCAAGTTGATCATTTTTAAATACTAAAATATTATTAATTATGTGAAGGCAACGTGGATATGGTGACTTCCATCTTGTGCCGCGCATGGGGAGCCTCCGACACGCTGCGTGGCTCGACCGCACCGCCTACCTCGTTTGCGACGTCGCCGATCGGTACACACACCGCACGACATCACAACACACCACGTCGCCGTTCCTCATGTGACGCATCTTTGTTTGTCGTGTGTACGGCATGCCACAGGGACACGCACCAGCTCCTCACCCACGCGCCGCGCACAGTGCTGAGCAAGCAGGTCGAGCAGGCCCAGAAGGACGGCTTCGGTGCCCTCTGCGCGTCGGAGCTCGAGTACTTCATCTACAACGATACCTACGAAACCGTACGTAGCGCCTTCCTCCTCCTCCACCTCTTCGTCATCTTGGACATATGCGCTTCGTCTTTTCTTCTTCTTCCTTCTCATGTGTTCGACTCGCCGTCATCCAGGCTTTCAAGAAGGGCTACAAGAACCTTCAGACCGCCGGCTGGTACAGCGAGGACTACCACATCCTTCAGGTAAAGCCCGCACCTGCTTGCTGGGCCTACAGATAAGGCGTCGTTGTGTGCGTGTCGGTTGTTATGTGTGTGTTGTGTGTTGTGTGTGTTGTGTGTTGTGTGTGTTGTGTGTTGTGTGTGGTTTGGCGATGCTCACCGGTGCGTGCTGGTCGACGCGCATGCAGGGAACGCGCACGGAGGACCTGCAGAAGGCGGTGCGGTACTACCTGAAGAAGTCGGGCATCCCGGTGGAGAGCTCCAAGGGCGAGTTCGGCCGGGGCCAGCACGAGCTCAACGTCGCCTACTCCGACATTCTCACCATGGCCGACAACCACGTCCTCTACAAGCAGTGCTTCAAGGCATGGCCCTCTCTCGCCCCTGTGTGCGGTGGTGCGTGTGCGTGTCTGACGTGTGTCGTGTGTCGTGTGTGAAACAACAGGAAGTGGCGGAGGCGCAGGGCAAGAGCGTGACGTTCATGGCGAAGCCCCACCACGATGAGGCGGGGTCGTCGTGCCACATCCACCTGAACCTCACCTCGGCGGAGACCGGCAAGAACGCGTTCGCGGGCGACAAGGACCTCCAGGGCATCAAGTGCTCCGACACCTTCCGCCACTTCCTCGGCGGATGGATCAAGTACACTCCCGGTACCGTGCCACCGTCATCTTCTTCGTCGTCGGCATCATGAAGATTGCTCATCGTATGCTGACCGCCTCCGTCATCGTGTCGTGTCGTGTCATGCAGAGATCATGCCGTTCCTCGCGCCGACGATCAACAGCTACAAGCGGTACCAGACGGCGTCGTGGGCGCCGACCAGCCTCGCGTGGTCGCCCGACAACCGCACGGCGGGCTTCCGCATTGTGGGCTCTGGCAAGTCGCTCCGAATCGAGTGCCGCATCCCGGGCGCCGACGTCAACCCGTACCTCGCCTTCGCCGGCTCGCTCGCCGCGGGTCTCGAGGGAGTGCGGAAGGGCATCGAGCCGCCGCCCATGATGTCGGGCGACGCCTACCGCGCGCCGAGCACCACCAAGGTGCCGGTGACGCTCAACGAGGCGGCCCACGCGCTCGAGGAGAGCAAGTTCGCGAGACAGGCGTTCGGCGACGACGTGGTGGACCACTACGCGCACTACTACAAGAAGGAGGTCGAAGCATTCAGGAAGTCCGTGACCGACTGGGAGAAGCAGAGATACTTCGAGCAGATCTAAGAGGAGAGAGAGAGACGACAGGACCTAACGTGTATTCGATCGATTGTACCGCATGAAGCGTAGTTGCCCCCTCTACGACTCGGCGTAGGGAGAAGGATGGGAGTATGTACAGCGATGTGGCATTCCTCTTTGGCCGACGTCGGGGATGTCAAGGTTCGCTCGTGGCCTCGTCCAGCTTGCGCTTCTTCCCAAAGTGCATCTTCGCCGCGGCGTAGTTGATCTCCCGCTGTAGCTCGGCGGGCAGCTGAGGGTAGGCGTCGCAGGTGAGGACTTCGCCGAAGTTATTGATGATCCAGTTGAAGCAGAAGCCGCGCAGCTTGTGGGCCTGCAACTGGTCCGCCGTCTGGAAGATGGTGCAGACGTTCTCGATGGAGATGTTCTGGAGGATGAAGTCTTCGCAGAGCGCGCGAAGTCGGCCGAGCTGGTACTGATCCGCCGCCATGAACAGGCCCACGACGATATCGCCGGTGATGTTCGCGGTGTCGGTGTAGAGGAACTCAACGACCAGCGCGAGCACTTCGTACTTGATGTCGGGGAACTGGATCTCCGCCTGCGTGCTCTCCCGCATCCCGCCGAAGAGCAGAGCACGGAACGCTTCCGAACGCATGGCGAGGATGATCTTGTGCGCGTGCAGCTCTCGACCGTCGGATGCTATCAGCTTCAAGTCGCTGCCCAGCGGTGAGTTGAACATCTTCCTCATGTCTTCCACCAGCGTCGACTTGGGAACGTCGACATGCCCTGAAAAGCCCAGGATGATCAGCAATAAGCCCGCATGAGAACATGAAAGAGTAACCCAACGCATGCGTACCGACAGAATCCGAGTTCATCCACCACAGGGCAAAGTTGATATCGCCATCGAGCTTGTTGGGTGAGGCGTCGAAGATCTTTTCGCCCACGCCCTCGGTCATGGGCCAGTGTCCGATGATGCCGCGCTCGGTGCCAGTGATAGCGCCCGACAGGTGCTGGTTGATCGTGTCGGGCGCGATGGTGTGCTTCCACAGCGTGACGTACGAAATGAGACCCTTGAAGCGCGTTCGTGTTCCCTTGTCTGGCTGTTGTGCGTGCACAGGTGATTCGATCAGCCCGGGCTCTAGCGCAGACAAGAAAAGCAATACATCAAGGGCTGGCTACTCCTTACCTTCAACTCGACGCCGATGAGCAGCGGTTGCGTACTACCCTTGAGCTTGCCTTTAACCTGCTGTGTAGAGACGAGCCTTCCGTTCGCGTACGTGCACGCTTGCTCGTAGGTAGAATCGTAGACCACCACGACGTGGGTCCAGGTCTGGGCAGGCATGCGCCACCTGCTGCCAATCCATTGCCAGCCGGGTCGCTGTGTTGAAGGTGAGGAGGAAATCTTTCGAGATGCGCAGAACAGGGATGGTACCTTGTTGTGAAACGCCATGGCGATCTCATCTGAGCGAAGGCCAAGAGCAAAAGATCCCTTCTTGGCAAGGAGGTAGCACGGATCGCTGCTACACGATGCGTCCTTCTCGCAATAGACCCAGGCAGCCACGGACAGCTGGCGGTAGTCCTCGCTGTTGTTGTAGGGAATCACAACGACATCTCGATACTCCTTGAATCGAAGAGCAACAGATGGCGAAACTGCAAGGCAGAACGTAAGGTTCAACGTTGGAGAGGTGCAAACACATGAAGGGAGAGGATTCTACCAACTGCAGCCATGGGGGCGACGTCGCAATCCTGCGGCAATTGGAAGGATCAGCATCTCGCACATTTGATTTTGTTCGGGAGAAAGGCGGGCAATGAAGAGGCAACGTACCTCGTCGTTGTCGGTAATCATGCAGCCGTGTTGTTGTACTACGTCTTGTAAAGTTGTAGTTTGTGTAGCAGGCCCGTCTCCTAAGCCCCTTTTTCTTTTCGCACGAACAGGTTTGAATAAATCATAAAATAAATAATCTCAACGTGCGTCACGAATCGTTGCCCGCACCGCACCTCCGCCAGCCAACAAGCTTGTTGCGAGCGACCAAGGGGCAGCTGTCTCTTCCAAGTGGCTACGACTGGACTGAATCTATTTACATCTTGTTCAATCATACACGTAATTGCAAGCAGTTTGTTCGGTTAGGACAAACTCGAGGAGCGACCTGTGATCTCCGTCCTGTTGGTGAAGCAAAAGTGAGGCTGCGGCCACCAAGGACTCTTCAAGACGCGCCTGCCATGCAGCTAACGCACCAGCACGACGCGAATCCACTCGCCAAACTTCTTCTCGTAGATCTTGTCTCCTCCGCATACGATGGTCATGGTGCTGGCCTTCTGCTTGAACGCGGTCGCATCTCTCACGTACGGCATCAACTGGCTGACCACTTGTCTCAGGAGGGCCTTGTCGGCTGCGTTCTTCGCTGTCGAGCGGACCGCGTGGTGAACGAGCCACTCGCGCTCGGGCGGGAGCGCTTTCTTCGGCGTGTCGGCCCGGTAGAAGATGTGCACTTCGAGCGGGAAGGTGGCCTTCTCCTGGTGAGCGCCGTACAGGGCGTCGATGACCGGGACGGCCTGCCTGATGAAGTTTTGGCACTTGTTCTCGTAGTCCACATACAGCTGGCGCATTGTTGGTGTGATTGTTCGGGGGTTGTGATTGCTTGGGTCTTGTGAGTCTTGTGGGTGCTGAGTATGATGGTAGGTGAGAAGAAGACAAATCGCATAAATGGGTGGACACCAGTAGTAGTAACAAACTGCTCCTGACAATTAATGTAGGACAAAGTGGCCTGTGTGGTTCCAGCGAACTTCCTCAGTTCCGCATCTTACAGCTTCTTGAGGATGTAGGCGGCCATGGCCCTGACGGCAGCAAAGGTCTCCTCGCCCGTGGGGGCGATCTCGCTCGGCGGCAGCACGAAGCCGTAACGACCTGCGACACAAATTAATTAATAAATAGTACAGAATAAAAGTTCAAAAAAGGGTGGTGGGTACCGGTGTCCCTGAGCTCGACGGCGAACGAGTACGTGACGTTGGCCACGCCGAAGGTCCAGTCGACCGACGAGCCGGACGCGGGGTAGATGGTGGTGGCGATGTTGCCGTACTGGTACTTGGTGCCGTACACGGCGGAGAGCGCGCTCACGCACTCTGTGGGGGCGAAACGGCGATCGGACATGTCAACAGGCTGTTGTTGCAACGAAGTCCAGTGCGCCGCACGTACCCTTGGTGGCCTGGAGCAGGTCCGGGTAGTCCTTGGGCAGAGCGCTGGTGTAGCCCCAAGGCTGTGCGTTTGATATTACAACACACATGTCAATAATGGTGGTCAAAGGCGCAGTTTGGAGGGAACTAACATACAGTCATCCACAGCTGAGAGTAAGAGTGGAAGTCGATGTAGCCGAGCACGTTGCCCCTGGACTTGATGTAGGAGGCCAGCGCGGTCTCCTCGGGCTCGGAGAAGCCCTTGGGACCTGTGGCCACACGAGAGCACAAATTAATCAAAGTCAGGAGGAGGAGAATTGCACGGGTCCTTAAGATAAATCTTACCCATGTAGTCCTCAGCGCAAGTGTTGGAGCTGGAACCGCCCTCGTTCCAGTGGAACTCCCAGTTGCGGTTGGTGTCGACACCGACGCAACCAGACCAGCTCTCCTTGTTGATGCGGCTACACGACATGACACGACACACGGCACAGACGACGCACACATGGCTTACGTCAGCGAGGTCACTATCGCTACAATGAGTTCACGAGGGTGGACGCGTACCGGTTCTTCCTCCACATGCGGTCGGTGGTCCAGGTGTAGACGTAGCCGTCGGCGTTGACGATGGGGATGATGGTCCACTCGATGTTGTCAACAAAGTTGGTGATCTGCGCGTCCTTGCCGTAGAGGGTGACGAGCTGGTTGGCGATCCAGGCGTTGGTCATCGGGCTGATCCACTCGCGAGCGTGCTGGCCTCCGTTGTACACGATTCCCGCCTTGCCTGCAGATACCCGGGTCAGGTGTGCACCGCACACACTACCGACCACACTACCGCACACACTACCGCACACACTACCGCACACGCCACCGCACACAACGAGGAAAGGGTACCGGTGGTCTTCTTCTGGGAGGTGATGATGATGCCGTTGATGTTGCGGCCCTCCACGCTCTTGCCGATCGTCTTGGTGCGACAACGGCCGAAGCGCAGTTGTTCACGTCAGCACTCGCAGTAGGAGTCAAAGGAGGGGCGAGCGTCAACGTACGATCTGGGTGACGAGGTCGGGGTACTGCTTGGCCAGCGTGGCCATGAAGTTGTTGAACTCGTCCAGCGTGCGGAAGCCGCCGAAGAACGAGTCGTTCGTCGCCCGCTGCAAAAAAAAAAAAAACAAATCAAAAAATGGACCGTCACGTGCCAAATGGCGGCGAGAAGAAAAATAAACAGAAGACCAATAAAATAAATTGCGTAATAAAAGAAAATAAAGCAATAAGTGTGCGGGGGGGGGGGCGACAAACCTGGATGCTGAAGCGCTCGAGATCGACAAGAGCCTGGAGATCTTCGATCATGACGGTGTAGGGGATGTTGAGAGCGTCGACCTGGGGCAGGAGGACGTCGGGCACCTGCACGTCGGCCCACTCCGGGTGCTCAGCCCACAGATCGAGCCCGAGAGCCCGCACGGCCGCGCCGAGCCTCAGCCGCTGCTCGCCGTCGAGGTCGTCCGCCAGCCCGAAGCGGAGCACCCTGTGGCCCACGAACGAAGGCCGCAGGTCCGACTCCACCACCGCCGACGCCACGGCCACGCACAGCGCCAGCAAGCACAGCGCCACCCAACTCCTTCCGTTCATCTTCTTTTCAGTGTACGTGTACGAGGCTCAGCTGTGTAAATGGCAGTCTCGCTGGAGTGCTGTAACTCTCTTTCGCCGTTGGCCGGAGCCAGCGAAGGCAGAAGACATTTCCGAAGTGCCAAATAAATGAAGATTGCTGCTCCCTGATTTATCTGGGGAGAGTGTAGTTGGTACAGGGTGAGTGGTCCAGACTGCCACCATCGTGGCGGTTGTTTTCTTCTCTAGAACTCGCAGAACTGGATGACCACCTTCTCGTCGAGCGCCTGCTGCAGGTCCTTGATCCATTCGTCCCTTTCCTGCACCACCAGAGCCAGGCTGTCAGAATGATGACCATCACCTCCCCAACAGACCCGCAACACGTTGACATGTCAACACGGTGCGCCGTGCCTTGGGCGATGGTGCGACGAAGAGTGTGAGTTCTTCCTCGAGCGCGACCTGGAAGGCGTTGGGCTCGGCCTCGCACTCCTCGACCAGGGTGATGAAGTTGAGGGGCACGATGGTGATGTACTCGAACGCCTTGCCGCCCTCGTCCGGACCCTCCTCGTTCCCTCGCCGGGTGGTGTACATCAGGAAGTCGTTGAAGAGGAAGAAGTACGGCGACGGGTTGTCCTCCGACTCGCCTCGCCACGTCAGCACGCCCTCTCGCACGTACCGCCGCTTGGGATGGACCAACGTCTATGTGTGCGGCAATCTCGCAAGTCAGTACTTCGAGACCTTATCCCGTGCATGTGCGTGTGGGGTGGTGTGCGTGCGTGCGTGTGCGCGGCGCGACCGAATACATACGTCGATGGGCAGTGCTTCAAGTCCGGCGATGGAGCTCTCGATGGTGCTGAGCTTATGCTGTGAATCGGACTTGGTCTTGCTGGCGTTGATGTCATCCTGCAGGTATGGTGAGCAATGCGCAAACACATAACATAACATAACATAACACAAATAGAAAAGAATATGACCACAGGGGGAGACTGTACGAGAATGTTGCCCAGAATCTCGATGGACTTCTTGATGTTGGGGCTGTCGGGGTGCTCCTCGGGTGTTTGCTTTTCCAATTCCTATGTCCGCCACATTGTGCATTGGTCAGTGTGCGAAACAAGGCCAGGGCATGGTGGTGGACACTGTACTTGAAGGAGGAGCATGTAACGAGGCACGCGTTGCACGGGAAGAATCAGGAAAGAGTTCAGGAGGAGACCCGACCGACTCTTTTCTTCGTTCTCGAATTTCTGTTACGAAGAGGCGGTGGCAAGAGAAGAGCTCGGAGTTAAAAACACGGCAGGGCCTGACCAAGGCGACCGACCAACAGAAGGCAGAGGAGCCAACAGTGAAAGAGTGAAAGAGGGGGAGGGACGCACGTCGATGTGTACTCGGAATTCGGGCTTGGCGCCCTCAAGGAACTTGATGACGAGGTGCGTGGAATCAAAATCGCGCACGTAGCGCTTGTACATGGTCACGAAGGTCTCGTCGAACTGTGACAGAGTGTCAGACGCCATGTGCGACAATAAAGTGATGATTGGCCGCACCTTCTCCACAAAGAGGTCGCCGAACTCGGTGAGCGCGGTGTAGCTCGCCAGTCGGGCCTCGACGATGTCCAGCAGGCTGCTGTGGAATTCCACAATTTCCTCAACGTTCGCAAAGACTTCTTCAATCTCGTCTGCAGTGAGAACTTCGGTGGCCTGGCCCAGGTGGCTCTTCAGCTCGTTCAGCAGACCCTGTTCATCACAGTCGCCGTCAACACAATTTGAGAAAGCGAAAGCGAATGAGCGAGGAGCGATGGGCCTACGTTGGTGAGCGTGCGAAGGTGAGTGACGTAGGTCCGCTCCGTGGTGGTCAGCTCTTCAGCGATCTTCTGCCTTCGCGTTCCCTTCTCCACTGCAATAAACGCACGAGACAGGGGGCATTGATAAGATGTTCCCTCTAACTAGCATGACACAAAGAAAATGGCCGGCGTACTTCCTTGGAACAAGAAGTCGCGGTCGAACTTGGAGCGGATGTGCTTGAGCAGCGTCTTGAGCGGCTCTGCATTACCCAGCACGATGTCTGCGTACACACAACGGAAGATGGAGACGTGGTTGTGATTATGATGAAGGTGGCCACAAAAGAATGGGGGCAAATAGGGCGCGTACCGTGGGAGGTGCAGCCGCGCACGCTCCAGAACGTTTGCTCGGCGATGAAACGGAGAATGAGTGTTGCATTTTGGATGCGATGCCACGGCAGCTTGGGGTCCACGACGTAGTGGCCCACCCGCACGTCCGAAAGCACTTCCTACATAACCCAACAATATTAACCAATATATATTTTATTAAATTTATTATAAAAATTAAATCCAAAATTATTACAAGAATCATAAAAATATGAAAGAACGAAAAGGAAGCGTAGAATGAAGGTGGCAGAGACGATGGGGAAGGACGAACCAGAAGGCGAATGAGCGCGACGCCGTCCTTGAGGTCGCTGTGGGTATTGGAGATTAGCGGTCCTCCATCCTTGCTGATGTGCGAGTTCATCCATTCCACCAACTCGCTTTCCACCGGATCAGCTGGCTGTCGGTCGAGAGTCGCTGGTGGGTGAGCAAAAACAGAAATGGAGATGCGATCATCTGTGTGAGCTCACACGTGGGTGATGTGGGCGGGTACCAGATCAGCCAGGGACGCCTGCAGCTCTTGCAGGCCCTGCACTTCGGTGAGGAATATCGAGTACGGCCGCCTCGCCCTGCGCGCCAACAGCAACAACAGATGATTAGGCCCGGGCAGAGTGAGCTCGTGCGAAGATGGCGCAAACCGTTTGCTGTCCTCGATCGCAGGTACGCCTTCGCCGCCGATGCCCTGGGCCTTGACGTGCTTGGCCAGCACGTGGATGTTGTTGATGACCTGCAAATGGATCAAAAAAGTGATGATCGGGCCAAGAATCGAGGCTTGCAATGCGACAATGACTTGACTCGTAGCAGATTACCCGAATATAAGGCAGGAAAGCGTACCACGTTGATATCCTTCTCCTCGTAGAGGTCCACCGTGTTGAAGCAATCGTATGCCGACAGGCCCAACTGCACGCAGGCCTGCAGAACCACAGGGACAACATGTTCGGTGAGAGGATCTTCATTGACACAAGCAAGAGACACATGGCTTGTGTGGGGCAGACCTTGAGGTAGGCGGCAATGTTTTCCATCTGCTTGTATGCAATGGAAGACGTGTGGATTTGAGGTATAGTGCCAGGCTTCAGCTTGTTGATGAGCCTACAAAGGCGTCCGTGGTGAGCCCACGAGCACGAACCTAAAAAAATGAGGGGAACGCGTACTTGCAGAGCAACACGCCGTCCTTGATGGAGCTGATGAAGGTTCGGCTCGGGTCCAACATGACGCCCAGCACGCCGCACACCCATCGCGATGCCTGCGTTGAATCACACAACCAAGATGAACGCGTAAGCGATGACGATCGATGGCGAGGCGTAACTGATCGACGATCGGCACACTAACCTGTTCTTCGAGCAGCGGATTGTATTTGAAGGCGGCCTTGGCGTTGATGTCGTCGGTGAGACTGGAGACGTCAGGACCGCGCGTGACAACCGCCGCGGCGGCAGCGATCATTTGCTGCGCCTGCGATCGCCCGAAGCTCATCCGTCGAGAGATTCTGAAAACACGCACGTGCGTCAGCACACCCCGTGTGTGAGACGCACGGGGTTGGAGCCGACACACCTTTTTTCGGCCATGGACGACACGGGGGTCGAGGTGACGGACACGACGGGCGCGGCCTTGAGAATGGTGGAGCGCGGAGGGACGGGCGGTCGCACCGACCCCGATCGCGCGGGTCGTGCCGGCGGTGCCGGCTGACTGGTGGTGGAAGGCTGCGCCTGTGCCTGAGCCGGTGTGGGCTTCGACGACGCGGGAGGCGGCGGAGGCGGGGAGCGGCCGATGACCAACGAACCGCTGGATGTCTTCAAGTTTGGCGACTGTTCGAAAGAGCGCGCACAGGTTTTTAGCTCCGAGAAGGCCAAAGTTTGTACAAGGGTTGGATTCGGAGCTTCGATGGAAGCGCAGAAGAGAAGAGTACCGACATGGATGTGGCAAGGCCTCGCTGCTTGGCGGCGGCGGCCGATGACGAAGCATCACGCATTGAGCCGGGACGAACGCCGCTGGCGATCTGAGACATGTTGTACACATTCTTGATGACCTGCAAACAAACACCATAACAACAACACGCCACCACAGCCCAGTGGTCACACGTCACCATCGATGAAGATGAATAATGAAACGTGAACAACAAACAAAGAAGAAGGAGAAGGCACCAACCATGTTGACGTTTTTCTCCTCAAAGAGATCGATGGTGTTGAAGAGCGAGCTCTCGGGAAGCCCCAGTTCCTTGCACCCGTGCAAATAGTTTTGGATGTTTTCCTGTAGTGAAGCGGTCGTGTTCAGTCGGCCAGGGTGTTCCATCTTACCATTTCCTTCCTCTACACAAATCTATAATCTCGAAATGTCGAAGAATGAAAATGAAGAGAGGAAGAGTCTGGAGACGCAAACAAAGGGGAGGCCCCTCACCATCTGCTTGAAGGCCAAACCAGTTCGGGCGGGCTCTGGGATGGTGCCGGGCTTGATTTTGTTGATAATGCGGCAGAGGAGGATGCCGTCCTTGAAGATGGAGGCGAAGGAGGTAGAAGGCGAGAGATCGACGTCCACCCCCAGGAAGGCCGCCACCCACTTCCGCATGTCCATATCGAGCTGAGGGTTGTAGTCCCTTTGCCTCTTCTCCTGCAAGCTAACCTCCAACGTCGGTACGTCGCTCATCTTCGGTTAACACTCTCCCTCAACCTCTCCTCGTCGAAGCGCTAAAGCCTCCTGCCAAACGAAGCAGCAAAAAGCGGTTGGGGCGGCAGAGTGTGGTGCAGCGGTCAAGAGGGGCTCTTCCTCTTTCTCTTTGCCGTCGTCCCACGAGAGCTTGAGAAATAATTAATTGCATTCCCCAGAAATGCGTGGAATGTTGCACCAGTCTTGCGAACGCGCGTTTGGAATTCCGCGTTGCGATCACTCTCGCGTTGCTTTGTTTACAGGAAGAGGGGAGGCAGAGCCAGGCCAGAGGGCCAAGAAGAAGAGGAAGAGAGGAAGAGAGTTGAAGGGGTTGGTTTTGTGGATGCGGGTGTTGGAGGGCGAAGGATAACTGGGATCTATCCACGGAGGGTGTAGCCGGTGCCAGTGAAAGTGGGGCCACGGGTGGCCTGCTGCTGCGCGCCTCGGTTGTACGAATTGTACTCGGCGGGATCAATCGATACCTGCCGATGCGCAGAGCGAGGGAAAGACGACGACGAAGAAGAAGAAGACGAAGAAGGCAGTGGTGAGACGTCAGTGACCAGATAGGGCTCTGAGGGCAGATCAAGATCGAGACGTACATGAAGGCTGGCGTCTGGAGAAGACGATAGCCCTTGGTGCGAGGGATGATGTCCTCGAAGAAGAAGTAGAAGTGGCCGGCAACAATGCCGCACAGCTCTGCCAGAGGCGAACCGCCCATCAAGAGGCTGCGGTTTCGCGATCGTGACATGTGACGACGGTGAGCACCATGGTTCATGGTGTGTGCGGCGAGGAAAAGGAGTACGGACCTCATGGCGCAGAGCACCCACGGGAAGTAGATGGACTTGAAGCGGATGCCGAACATGAGGGACATCTCAACGTCCGGGTTCTTGCGCGACCAGTAGTAGATAAGCGACACAATCAGGCCCATGCCCAGGATGGGAGAGGGCAGGATGAGCGTGCTGGCCTGTCAGATGGAGGGTGCACGTAGCGAAGCGGGACAGTGAGCTCTTGTCAGAATGCAAAGCGGCTAATGCAGCAGTGCAAGATGGCATAGATTGTGCATGGGGCTGGTGCTGGCGTGCAGCATGGGGTAGATAGGCGTACCAGGAGGAGGGAGCAGGTGATAACCTGCATCCACACGTAATCCGAAAGACGGCCGTTGAAGATCTCAGATTCCAGAGAACTGGCATACCGCACCCTGCAAGCAATAAAGATTGAGCACGGCACCAGATGTACCAAAGAAATGGAGTCGCTACAGCGCGAAGGGAGGGAGCGTACAGGAAGAGCATGTGGATGAGGAAGGGGAAGCCCAGCTTGCCATGGAAGAGGAAGCATGTGACCAGCCGCCACAGCTGGAACTCGGTGATGATCTTAGGCCAAATGAGCACCAGGCTGTAGGGGCTGAGCAGCCCGAAATTCGCTGCCAGCGTCACGCCGAACGATCCCACAAAAAGGTACTTCGTCAGCACCGGCAAGTCCTTCCACCATCTCTCTAAATCGGAACTCATTCTCTTGCGTATCTGTCTGATTGTTTTATGGTTGATCTTTCTGATGCAGCGCTTGCCTCGCTGGCGCTGACGTCACTGCTTACGTCACCCGAAAATTCCAAGTATGCTCCAGAGGTCAATCGCAACAGATTCACTTGATCCGTGCACAGATGTGTCTCATCGGTTTCGCGCTGAACGCGCATCCGGACTACTCGTTTGTTCTTGTCTCCAATCGCGACGAGTTCGAGGTTCTAACCCCCCCCCACGCAAACAACTGCTGCAGCGCCCTGCTTATCTCACCTTGAAGCCCTGCACAGAACAGAGACAGCACGTCACCAAACGTGGGCGCGGATGGTGTGCTCTGCGGTCGGGACCTACGCAGCGCCGGCACGTGGATAGGAGTGCACACGACCACCGGTTCTCCTCTGCCCCCTCATCACCGTGTCGGTACGGTTGCGATCTTGACAAGGACGCGCTCCTGAGCGATGGTAGGAGACTTCGCGGGTCTGACCAACATCGGCGGGCGCGGAGGGCCTGGCGGCATATCGCGGGGAAAGCTCGTCCTCGACTTCATCCTTGATCCCTCCCTCGATCTTCCCGATAACATGTAAACACACGCACCACCTCACGCACACACGCACACGCACACACGCACACACGGCATTTCTCACATTCCTCGACCTGTGGGCGTGTGCCAGACGGCAGTACATGGGATTCAACCTGATGTGGGGCAATGTGTTCGCCGACCAGGTGGAGATCAAGTGCGTGAGCAACTGCGCCGTGGAGGTGGACGACGCCGGCTGGCCCAAGATCGATACCCTGTGTCAAGGCGTCTACGGCCTCGCCAACGATCTCTTCGGCGACGAGTTCGTCAAGGTTCTTCTTCTTCTAAAGTGATCTACCATTCGAAAGCAGCTGCTGCGCCTTACTGACGTCACCACTTACAGTGTCCGTACATTAGGAGGCGAATTGCCCACATCTTGGACTCGACGCCCGCGTCTGAAGAGCCGTCGCAAGACGAGACGCGGAAGCTGCGCGATCGCCTCGCTGCGCTCTTCACCGAACAGCAGCCGCTGCTGCCCGCTGCGACGCAGGCGGCAGGGGGGCCGGCGTCGATGTCGCTCTGGTCTTTCTTCGCCAAGTTCTTCCACACGTCGGTGAAGAGGCGCGTCCAGCCCGGCCTACGAACGTTCCTCTCCGCATCGGCCGCGCTCACCGTCTTCTTCCTGGTCGCCTTCCTCGTCTACGCGCTCACCATTTCATCGCCTTCGGTTTCGTCGTCTTCGCTCTTGGCTTCGTTCTTTGGCTGCGTCGTCCTGGGCGCGCTCGTGCCGTCGCTGCTGGCGGGACTCTACCACCACCTGCGCATGCAGCACCTCTTCGTAAAGCTGCGACTGCCGTGGCGTCGCAGACCCGTCTACGGCACCATCTCGCAGACCGTCATTCTGGTGCGACGCGATCGGACGGTCCACTATTTCTTCCGCGACACCCGCGGCCACACCATCAAGCCCTGGGAGGAGACCACCTTCAGCTTCTAAAAATCCTCGTTGTTGTTGTTGTTGCAATCAACGTTGTTGGCTGTACAGGAATAAATAGTAGTTTTTTTCGCTGATGAAACGACCAGCTTGGCTGGCTGCCCGCAGGCTTGGCTTAGTCGCTGTTGTCGTCATCACTCTGCTCGACTTGCTTGTGCTTCTTGTTGTCCTTTCGCACGTCCATCTGTCCACACGAACACGGCCTCCAGTTTAGATGCGAGAGAAGAAAAAGAACGACGGGAAAGAGCGAAAGAGAGACAATGGCGCACCTCGACGGCCTTGGGGGAGATTGGCATATCGTCGTCGTCATCGATGTCGTCGTCCGAGCCATCATCGTCCTGCTCGCCCCTGTTCTCGGCCTCTTCGGTGATACGGAGGAAGACCTCCTCGAGCGTGGTAAGCGACACCAGCACGTCGGTGATGCCCAGCTCCTTCTTCTTCGTCTCCAATAGTCTGAACGTTCATACATCAGCATTCGATGGTGTGCGAGCGCGTGTTGCGTGTGCGCACACATAGAGGGGACGTACGCGAGGAAGCTGGAGAGGTCCTGGATGTCGGCCGGAATGGCAAAGTTGAGGTAGTCCGACACGCCGTCGGCCTCCATCACGACTCCTGCATGGCTCTTGCGAGTGAGCGACCGATCACGCACGCACAGGAACGCGACACGGAAGTGGTACGCGCTACGCACCTTCGATTTGCGACTCGAAGAACTCGGTGACGGCTCCGCGCGACTCCCTCTTGACGGCCACAGTGATTTGGTAGCCCTGCGGATCAGGCACAGACACAAGCAGCAGCTTTTTAGGTCCGAGAATAGAAGGGAGTGGTGGTGGGAGCGACGTACGGCTCCGAACTTCTTCTTCAAGTGGATAGCCGAGCCCATACACTGCAGCTGACCCTTGGCCATGATAGCTGCACCGTTGTGTGTTGTGCTGATTGTTATTTGGTTGTTGTCGATGAATTGTGGGCGAGAAGGCTGTACCGATGGTGTCGGCAAGGGTGTCGGCCTCCTCCATGGAGTGGGTGGTGAGGATGACCACGCGGCCCTTCTTGGCGCGCTCGATGATGTCCCACACCTCGCGACGCGACACGGGGTCCATGCCCGTTGTCTATATATTGAAAACAAAAAAATGGAGTCAAACCCTCGCGTCAGTCAACCGAACCGAGGCCTGCGAAGAGTAGTTCGAAACTGGCTCAAGACCAAGAGCGTACCGGCTCGTCGAGGAACACGACCTTGGGGTCACCCACCAGCGCTGCACAAATATTAGGGGAAAACACAGCTCACTGTGAGTACGAGTTGAAACCACCACTACAGAATCCCGAGTCAACGCGATTGCACAGTTACGTACCGACAGCGACGGAGAGGCGGCGCTTCATTCCACCGCTGTAGCCCGAAGAGAGCCTGTTCATGGCCTTGGTCAAGCTCACCTCCTACAAACACGCGCACGGTACAGGTGAGGTGAGGGTAAGCGATGGCCAATGAAGCACATCAATCGCGTTGTGGACGGAGGTGTGGGGGCGCGGCCGTACGCCGAGCCGGTCGTCGGCCTCCTGGGAGAGCTTCTTCCACGGGATGCCCTTCATGCCGGCGAACAGCATGAGGTGCTCGCGGCCGGTGAGGTCGGCCCACAGGACGTCGAACTGCGGGCAGACGCCCATCATCTCCCGGATCTTGTCCATGTGGGTGAGGATCGAGTAGCCGTAGATCTCCGCATCGCCGTGCGTGGGGCTGATCTGGCCCGTCAGCATGTTGATCGTAGTCGTCTGCAAATCACACGTAATCATGAGTTCACCACCGGTGTGTGTGTGTGTGTGGTGTGTGTTGTGCGGGCGCGTACCTTTCCGGCACCGTTGTGTCCAAGCAGGCAGAACAGGTGGTTGGAGTCGATGTGGTACCACACGTCGGACACGGCCTGGAAGGGCGTACGTTTGCCGCAGCAACAGCAGAACGACTTCATGAAGCACCGCGTGCACTTGTTCTTACCTGCATCCACACCCACACACGGCAGTGAGCAAACGAAAACGAAAACGAACTTTGTTGGCGCCACGTACCGAGCTTCTTCCTGCAGCCCGGGTAGGTCTTGTTGAGATTCATAATCTTCACCGCCGTCGACTCCGGCAGGTTGTCCGTCCGCACGTTCTTTTCCTCGGCGTACACGTCCTCGTCCACCGTTTCGTCCTGATGATGATCACCAATGTGAGCTCTCCATGTCACGTGTGTGGATGTCGTGTGCGAGTGCGTGTCGTGTTGTGAAAGGCGAGTACCGGCGGGGTGTCGTCATGGGGCTGGGGCGCACGCGCAGACACTTTGCCGGTCCAGTACGACGGCGTCACGAAGTAGTACCAGGGCCGACGCACGCCGTGCTCGTTGGGCAGAATGTTGTCGAACCACAGCGCCAGGCCGAGGTACAGGAAGAAGTCCAGCACCAGCCAAATGTACAACTGTCAACGCATCACCGCCGCCACCATCAGCACCGCCCGCGTGACCACCGTTGGCCGCCACTACGTTGATGAAAAGAGGTGTACGCACCTGGATGAGCGGCCACTTGTCGGTGTTGTCGATTATGTCGCCGAAGGAGTAGCCCGGCTGGGCCTCGCCAATGTCGTTGAGGCCCTTGGCCAGCATCACGGGCGAGAACCACGCGAGAATGTACTGCGGGGCCGAGGAAAAACAAAAGGTGTGTCAGCCGACAACTCTATTGTAAAGCGGGTGCACGCATGTGCGCGACGTCGCGTGCGTACCTGGCCAATAATGGTGCCGCCACCGGCGTCATCGTCGTAGAGGAACACTGCGGTGAGCTGGAAGAAGAATCCAATCACGAACACAAAGAAGCCCATACTGACTGCACCGCGCACACTCTGGTCAGTGCGTGCGTGCGTAGTCTTGTGTGCGGTGGTGACGTACTGGCAGAGCTGGACTTCTTGAGGAGGGTGGAGGTGAGGAAGGACAGGGGGACGAGCGACAGGGCGAACAGCTCGAGCAGGATGAAGTAGGTCCCGAAGTTGTTGTCCAGGAAGAAATCGAACTGGAACGCGGCACCGAAGGCGCACAGCAGGAGCACCGTCCACGTCGCGAAGAAGATGTAGGTGATCATCCAGGTCGACCAGTAGACCGAGTCCTGTACGTGTACGAATGTGTGTGTCGTGTGCGGCCCACTTGAGAACTCACATGATCGATGACGAGGGACCTTCCAAGGTGGATGTGAACGCGTACCCGCAGGCCCATGAGGTTGAGCGTCGCACGGAGTCGCAGTTCGCGTTCTGTGCTGATTTGCACCAGCGCCATCACTGCACGCGCATACGTAATCATTGTTAGCACGCCACCACCAGCAGCAGCAGAGCAAAATTGCGCCGCGATGAGCAGTCATTCATGATGACTGGCACGTACCGAAGTTGAACATGAGGCAACCGAAGAAGAAGGTCGATCCAGCCCTGCCGATGACTGGTCGCGCGCGAACGAACCAGTGTCAGTGAATGACGGTAAATCCACGCAACGAGCCAACTCGTGTGTCGTGTGTGTCGTGCGTGCGCACGAGACGATGCGTACTGTTGAGCGTCTCGGGCGGGGGGCGAGCGAATTCGATGGCATCCACGGAGAAGACAAAGTCGGGATTGTTCGTCGCGTACTTGACTGCTCACGCCGAACGAGGGCGTAAGTTGGAGACCGTCGGTGTCGCCCATACAACGGCACATAAGTAGTGGGCTACGCACAGAGCTGTCGCTGCAGGGCGACCATCATCGGCACTTGGACGTAGGTGGCGTATTTGATGACCTTGCCGTAGCGCATCTGGCTCGTCTGGTTGGTCAGCAGCGTGAAGCCCACGACCGTGTTGCCGCCCACTTGCGAGACATTGAACACATAACCTGTGTCGTGTCGTGTGTGTTGTGGGCATGCGCCGCGTCAGTCTCCCGATTGATTGCGCCTCGAGCAAGCATCGCATTAACTGGCGTACCTCCTTGAGTGGTATTCGGGTTGTTGTAGACAAAGTCGTCCAGCTCGTCCTCCGTGTCGAACCCGATCACTTCATCTTCTGGTAAGTCACTGTCTGCTCGTATCTGCACAGAGACCATTAGTCGTGATCAAGAAGAAGAAGAAGAAGCGACAACGCCACTTGGTCACGCTCTAGTTGAACGCTGGGAAAACGTACGCCTGCTATTAATGTTTCCACTATGCTCGTGCTGTTGGTACTCCGTGGAGCGTAGGCGATCGTCCAGCAACGATCTGTTTCGGGGGACAAGCAAGAAGAGAGAGAGAGAGATCAGAGTCAAGATCGACACTTGATGTTAAGCGCAGCGCGTTGTGCGCACCCTTGTTGCTGCCCACAATGCACCGAGGTATCTGGCCCACGCGCTCCGGCTCCGGAGTGGGTTCTGTTTCGCAGCGTTCGAGTGGTTGCCACCGGTAATGATGAGTGACACACGACACGACAAGCCATGCACATGGAGGTCGAGGGTCGAAGGCTCCGTACGGTCATCATAGAGGTTTTCCTTAGAGGTGTTGCTAAGGACCTCGTTCATGACGTAGAGGGCCAGGATGAAGAAGAACGGCGACAGGATCTGCATGATCATGATCTTGTACCCTCGTTTCTGCGTTGGCGCACCCACCACACGATCAGCGTTGCATACAAAGGCCACGCCATCATTTCTCTTTGTAAACTATTTTGTCCAAATTTAGATAAATAAATACAGAAATGAAAAAGAGAGCGGTGAGCGAGGAGGTAAGCAGTACGGAGAGGGTCCAGTTCTTCCACATCAGCAGACCGAACTGGGTGATCCACGCAGCGGAGGCGGTGGTCTTCGACATCCTGTTGGCGAATAAACTCAGCGGGCCGCTGGGCGAGTCTTTCGGTCTGGTGGGTGCCCCCTTTGTCGCCTGTCGGGTGGTGCGACTTGTTGGTGTCTTTGAAAACTAAAACTAGACGAGGGGAGCTGGAAGGTGTGGGTGAGCTCAAGGCCTTGTAGTTGCTGGCGCAACTGGTCGGGTGTATAGGGCAAAGAGCCGATTCGTTGTTAGTCTGAATTTTCAGTTGTCCTCGGGTTCAATAATTATCGTCCGAAATATCGGCCAATAGAAGGAATTCCCGATCTGGAATGCCAATTATTCGGCAGGAAATGCAACTCCGCAAGGCCAGCTTCTTGTACTGGTACGGGTATCCTTGTCCTTCAGCTCGGTGTATTTGAATCAGCAACAACCTTCGTCTCTGTCGTGCTCTCAGTCTGTTGTCGAACAGAACCTTGGCACAAGAGAAACCCTCATCTTGGCCTGCTGACACAGGTGCTACTCCCTTGCAACCACCACACAGCTTCTTTCTGGCCTCTAAGCCTTGTCTTTTTTTGTGGGGTGCAGGATGGGCAAGGGCACAGTGGTGGAGGAAGACGGGGTGGACTTGGCGCAGTTGGGCGACCATGAGCTGCGACGGATGATCAAGAAGCGCCTCTCCTACCGGAGCCAGTGCTGGGCGCTGCTGGCCAAGAGTGCCATCGCCCAGAAGCGAAACTACGGCACCAACACCTGCCAAATTCTCACGCCCATCATCCTCGTACACGCCAGCACCCAAACTTTGTTTTTTGAGTTTTTGTTTTTTTCGCCACTCGTATTTGTTTTTCTTTATTAGTAGATTTTTATCTGCGGCCGAATTTTATACTATTTGTTTTTCTCCATCGGCCATTTATATAAAGTGCCCGAAATTTATACTATTTTATTTACTGACCATGTGTGCTCTCCCACACAGATGCTGATCTTGTTCTTGCTGCAACAATGGATTTCCACACTGGTGGACAACGACAGCGTTGCCTATCGGGACCCCAAGAACCAGGCGCCATTCCTCATGTACGTTGCTGTTGTCTCTTCCCTTGTCCCTCCACCACAACTGCACGTAAGCATCGAACGCTCACATCAACAATGGAATGGAATGTCACTTGTGCAGCTTGAGCAGGCCGGCCGAGGGCGACTACCGGCCAGCCTCGGCCGAGATCCTTTACACGGACGCGGGCATGGTCGGCGAGGTGGACATCGGCCAGTTCGACCCCTACGGCGGCACAGGGTCGGGCCTACTCGGAGCCATTGCCCTAACCAACCGCACCGTGTCCATCAAGGTGCTCTCACTGACACACGACACGACACGACACGACACGACACGACACGACACGACACGACACGACACGACACGACACGACACGACACGACACGACACGACACGACACGACACGACACGACACGACACGACACGACACGACACGACACGACACGACACGACACGACACGACACGACACGACACGACACGACACGACACGACACACACGACACACGCCTTTGTCTGTGATGCAAGCAAATGAAATTGAACTCACATTCGTCTTGTTGTGGAGTGCAGTTCCCCAAGTACGACGACTCAGAAATATTTCTGAAGGATCTGGACCTCGTTCCGTCGGTACCGTACAACTACTCGATCGTTCAGCAGAACAGCGTGGCCGATATCAACCGCATCCTCTACGACGCAACCGGCAAGGGCGCGCGCTACACCACTGGTATTCAACTCTCCACCACCTGTTGTTGGTTGTTGTTGTTGTGCCTTACCTTCGATCGTTTTCGATCGCATCAATGCCGTGCAGCGTACGTGTTCGACGAGGTGTCGGTGGACAACTCGGTGCTCGACTTCGGGGTCTACTACAATTACACCATCTCGCGAGGACGGGACATCGTGGGTGCCATGAGCCTCATCACGCAGGCCTTCGCCTCGCTCCTCCCGTCTCCCCAAATCGTGGCCAATTTTCGTACGTCCCCACTTTGTGGCGCGTAGTGTGCGTGCGTGTGCGTGCGGTGGTGCATGTGTGCGTGCGTGGGTGCGTGCGCGTGTTGACCTCCCGATTCCGGCTTTAGTGGGCATAAAGAAACTGCCGCAGAAGGACGACTACAATGACTTCGACATTACGACTTTGGTGGGCGGTCTCTTCTTCGCGCTCATCCTCCACCAGCTCCTGCCCGTGTTCCTCTCGGTACTCCATTTCTCCAAATGCATTGAAGAGCTCACCGTGCATACAACACAACTACAAAGGTAAACTTTCATCTTTTATGCAGAGCCTGGCCTACGAGAAGGAAAACAGAATCAGGGAGATGATGAAGATGGTACGACGACAGACTTCTTCACAATTCGTTGCAGCACGTAACAGAATGTAATTAATCACTGCTTCGCGTTATCGACCAGATGGGCCTTCGTATGCCGATCTACTGGCTGGTGAACTACTTTTGGTGCTATCTCCTCTACTGCTTCGTGGCGGCGTTCCTCATCATCGCCGGCCTGGTGTTTCGTACGTGGCCCCGACCTACAACACTTGATGCGTCACACACTTCATCCAGAACCCAGCTCACCTTGGTGCATGTCGTGCCGTGCGTAGAATTCCGTTTCTTCACGGTGAACAACTTTGGCGTCTACTTCATCTTGTTCTTCATCTGGGGCCACACCTTGGTGGCCATGTCGTTCCTTATTTCTGTCTTCTTCCAGAGAGAGCGCAGCGCATCGAGTACGCTTTTTACGCCCCTTTTCTGCGCTGCATCATCGATGACATCAGCTGACCGGCGGGCGTGGGTGTCATGTGAAGCCTTTGGTTACTTCTACATTCTGGGAATCACCTTCGTCGCCGTGTTCACCATCCAGACGCTCATCAACGACGTCGGCGAGCCAGGTGCGTGCGTCATGATCGAGCGTCAATTGATGAACTGAACGATCACTGAACAATTTATGATGGACGGCAACAGCACTCAATGGTATCTCTGTGGTGCCGTCATTCGCTCTCGTGCGTGGCATATCGTGGCTCCTCAGTGAGGTACGTGTGTCCTGTCGTGCGTGTCGTGTCGTGCGTGCGCTGTGGTGGATATCTCTGTATTAAGCCTCGTCGTCGCTATGGCGTGCTGTTGTGTCCAGGTCTCCTACAATGGACCCGGACTCAAGGGCGGCGACATCGACAAAGGCCCGGCTAACATGGCGCACATCTACGCCTTCCTGGTGGTCCAGTGGGCCGTCATGCTGGTCCTCGCGCTCTACCTGGACCAGGTCTTCCCGGGCACCTACGGTCTGCCCAAGCACCCGCTCTTCTTCCTCGCGCCGCTCAAGCGCCTGCCCGGCGTGCGCCACCTGATCGAACGCTGCGGCTGCTGCCACGGCAACCCCGAAGAAAACGACCTCGAGGACGGACACGAGCCCGAGGACGTCAAGGCCGAGAGCAGTCGTGCGCACTCCGACGAGAATCTTCCCGTACGCATCCCCCCTCCCTCCGCGCTTCGTTCTTCTGTCGCAGTGCATTCTTCGTTCTTTGTTGTCGTGTGAGGTGTTCACGCGAACTTTCCTTCACTGTGGCTCTGCAGTTGAAGGTGCAGAGCCTGACCAAGGAGTACAATGTCCCCTTCTGGGAAGCAGCGCCGTTTTCCTGGTGGCGCTACATTCCTCGGTACGCCGCCACGCATTGCGTTGCAACCGAGTGATTCGCGCATTACTCATCAAGGCCCGCACACACCACAGGCTGTGCGGGAAGGCGGTCAAAAAGAGAAAGCCCGAGCGTGCGCTCAAGGGCGCCAGCTTCGTCATCGGCTCCAACGAGTGCGTGGGCTTCCTCGGCCCCAACGGAGCGGTACGAACACATGCCACCCGCCTCCCCGTCCCTCCTAGTCAGTTCACCTCATCTTACCGCTACGCGCAGGGCAAAACGACGACCATGGGCATCATCTGCGGACTCATCCAGCCCACCAGCGGCCAAGTGTGCATGTACAACTTCGTGCTGCCGGGCGACGTCTCCTACATCCACCTGCTCACCGGTACGCACACACTATTATAACGTCACACCTTCACATTGCTTTGACCACGCACCCAATCTCACTCAATGCGGTTCTCTAGGCGTGTGCCCGCAGCACGACATCATCTGGGGCAGTCTCACTGCAAGGGAGGTACGGACCTACAGTCTCGCCTCCCGCCTGGTCTTTTCTTGGGGCGCGCTGACGCATGGCCGTTCTTTTTTTTTTTTTTTTTTCTGATGCGTGCAGCACCTGCAATTCTACGGCCGGCTCAAGGGCGTGCACGGCAAGGCGCTCAAGAAGGAGGTGCGTGAGGTGCTCGAGTCGCTCAACCTCTACAAGGTCCGAAACAAGCCCGTGCGCGCCTTCTCCGGCGGCATGAAGCGTCGATTGTCCGTCGGCATGTGTACGTAGCCGCTCTCGCCCGCCAGCTACATTCATCGGTGATCATTTTCTTATTTATTTTATGGTTTTTTTCCCTAATAATTAGCTCTCATGGGCGACCCCAAGCTGATCCTCCTGGACGAGCCCAGCACGTACGCGCATCATGGCCTGACGAGGGCGCCGCAACGGTGACTGATCGAAAACACCGCTCTCTTGTTGTGCAACACAGGGGACTGGATCCGAAGTCCAAGCGCGCGCTGTGGTCGGCCATCAGCGCCCGAAAGAAGCAATCCGCACTCATTCTCACCACCCACTCCATGGAGGAAGCCGAGGCGCTCTGCAACCGCATCGTACGCTTTGTTTCACTCTCTCTCTCTCTCTGCGGCATTGTGCGGTAGACTGATCTTGCCCCCCAACAGGTGATCATGGCAGAGGGTCGTGTGCGCGCCGTCGGCACCTCGGCCGAGCTGAAGTCGCGGTTCGGCAAGGGCTTCAAGCTCACCATTACCTGCGCCGACCACGACAACAAACCGCAGGCCATCGCGTACGACGCGCCTCACCTCCGACTGGGCTTCATCTTCACGCGCGTCCCTTGCACTTACCATTCACGCCCGGTTTTGTTCGTTCGATGGGACAGATTCGTGAAGCAGCTGGTGCCCGGGGCCAAGGAGATCAGCAACATCAGCGGCACGGTGCTCTTCTACCTCCCGAAGAAGTCGGTGGTCCTCAGCCAGGTGTTCCGCAACATCGACACCAACAAGAACAGCGTGGGCATCACCGATTGGGGCATCAGCAACACCAGTACGAGTTCTTCTTCTTCTTCTTCTCCCTCACGTGTGAAGCGACACTGACACGGTCACTGGCGCAACGACACGACAGCTCTGGAGGAGGTCTTCCACAAGGTGGTATCCGATCGCCATGTTCCCGGAACGGAGGGCGGCGATGACGATGATGACGACACAATGGACCACGAAGACATTAGCCACGCCAGTAGCAGCAGCGGCAGTCGCGACGACTGAGCCGATCCGTCCGACCGACGTGTGCCCCAAACTGTACATAAACATGACATGTTTTTATATTAATTTATTTGTTTTGTTTTATTTCATCGAACTGAAATAAAACAAAACACAGCTTTTTTGTTTATTTTTAAATCTCAGCCATGGCCGTGCGGGATTGTTGGGACGAATCGGGGTGGTTTCGACGATTCGGACGTGATTTTGGGAGAGATTGCTTGTTGTTGCGAGATCGCCCTTCTCCCATACCATGGAGGGTTCGCAATCACTTCATTTTATTTCTAAATGCAATTTTATTAATCAAGTTGCTAATCCGCTTCCGATCTTCGGGCATGCAGACTCACTACCTGACACACATGAAATTTGATGAGCGAGCTGGGAAGCGATTTTCGATTCAAGCAAGAAAGACCGCCAAAGAGGTACTCCCCGGCAGCTCCTGGCAGATGTGTGGCGGAAGATGGTTCTTTGTCTTAAGTGGTCTCCTTCTTCTTCCTCGTTCCTGGCGGCAGACGTCGGGCGAGTACCAGACGACGCTGCAGCAAGTGGTGCTCGCCGGCGACCTCGAAGCGGTGTACGTCCAGGTGCGGAAGGAGCTCTCGCTTCGACCCGGCGAGCCTCTGGAGGAGAACAACAAGTCGATTCTGCACTACGCCGTGATGACGCGGAACACAGACATCGTGCAGATGCTGATCCGCGAGTCCAGGGACAAAGGCGTTGCCCTCGACCTCAACAAAAACGACATCATCACCGGTACGCACTCGTCTCTTCTTCTTCTTCTTCACCCTGTTTTCTCATTACTGCGATCGACCAGGGTTCACGCCATTGCACTACAGCATATTTATCGAGAGCAGGCAGATGCTGACCATGTTGCTCGCCGAATACAACGCTGACATCGACGTAACCGATGCCTTCTCTGCTACTCCGCTAGGTGCGCTCTTGTCCCCGCGTCGCCGCGGCGCTTGAATGTGAGTGCTCACTTCTCTCTGTGCGTGCGTGCGTGCGTGCGTGCGGGGTGTGATCAGACTATGCGCGAATGCTGGGAATGGTGCCACACATGCCGTCACATCTCATCCCGCGTTCGATCACGGTCTATGACAAGGCCCACGAGAGCGTGGCCCAGTGGCCCGTCGCACAACTCGAGGAGCGACTTACGGTCACCTACTGCGCGCTCCCTGTGTGCGGACACAAGTACATCGAAGAGCTCATGTTTAGCGGCTTCGGGATTGGCGAAACCGATGTCGAGTTCAGGTGCGCTCAATCACTGAGCGAGTGAATGTGTTTGTTGCTGCTGCTGTTGTTGTTATGCTCACCACTTTCACACCACACACACACACACACACACACACACACACACACACACACACACACACACACACACACACACACACACACCACACACACACACACCACACAACAGGAAGAAGTATATGAAGGACATTGAAGCAAGCACGGGAGATGAAAACCTCATCCTGGCCAGATCGACGCAAGCGTGGGATATGGCGTCTTTGCGGGGAAAGACTACCAGCCCGGCAGCTACATCTGCCGTTATGGTGGTCGCTTGAGCGCTGAAGGTGCGCGGTGTACACCTCTTCTCTCTTAAATGAATGGCGCCACGTCAGGCCTCGTAACTAACATGTTTCCATTCCTCTCGCGAGCAGGGACCATCAAGAATCGGGCGTACGCGGTCGTGTCAGGCGTGGAGGGCATGGTGCTTGACGGCACGCACTACCGCAACCTCGGAGGTGCGTTCTTCCCCCCCCCTCTTTATAGGCCCACCACCGCCCGATGGCCTTCGTCTCACACCCAACGTTCCTCGACAGGCATGATCAACCACTCTGCGCGGTACGCCAACGCCGAGCTGCAGTGCTTCTTCGACCGGGGCGCTGAGCAGGCCGTCATCACAGCCACCCAGTTCATCCCCAAGGTACTACTACTACTCGCCCTTTGCTCGCCCTCAACCTGTACGCCGGCGACAATGCTTCAGCTCGCCAACAAACATTAACACCAACAACACCAACAACACCAACAGGGCAAGCAGATCCTGTTGGACTATTCAGAGAGCTACTGGCAGGCGGAGGACGAGACGACGACATCAACAGAGGCCGAAGCCGACGACAAGAAGCCGGCCTACCTCATGGCCGCCGCCGGGGATGCCCAGGTGCAGGTGGTGGAGATGGGAGGCGACGAGCCCGGCTCCTTCCCTGCCTTCCTCCCCTCGGCCTTTGTCTCCTCGCTCCCCTAACACACTTCTTAAAAAAGAAAATCGAAAAGCAAATTTATTTTCTTTTTTTAACCCACACCCCAGATCAAACATGGTACCTCATCCTTCCACACTTCGCTCTGGCCCCTGGCGCCTGGCGCTGGTCCTACCCGGTGCCGGATATCATCAGTGGCGCGTTGATTTAATTTATATCGAGATTAAATTATCGGGGGGGGCTGCAGGTGGTGCGACTGCTCTTGAACATCCTGGGCGTGGGCTCGCAAGTGTTCGGGAAGGCCTTCCTCGATGCCTGGCGACAAGCCGGCCTCAGTGCGTCGCCCGCCCTTTGCATTTAATTCAATTTATCTTTTAAATCATTTTAATATTGTTCATCTCGTGCTCGCCGAGCAGAGGCCAAGCAGACCGGGGCAGGCCTCTCGCTGGCGGAGGCGCAGAAAATTTTGGGGCTGAGACCGCCCTACGAACTCAAGGAAGTCACCAAGGTAGACGAATGCACACCACACCACACCTATTCGCACTCACACAACGGCACACGGCGCACATCGGCAGCCAAAACTGACAACGTTGCACTTGTGTGACACACAGCGATACGAACAGCTGTTCAAGTCAAACGATCCTGCCAATGGTGGGTCCTTCTATCTGCAGTCCAAGGTCTACAGGTACAATGCACCACCACCACTACACACCGCACACCATTCGCTCATCGTTGCTGTCGCTTGCGTGTGTGGCGTGTGCAGGGCACGAGAACGACTGGAGCAGGAGTTCAAGACCAACGCGGAGTGGCAGGCCAAGGGCGGCGGCACCAACGCCGAGTGACAACTGCCAGCATCGCCACACCGTCACACACCAGCAGCAAAAAAGGAGTCTCTCAACTTATTCACACAACACCCCTTCGCTCACCTGACCTGCGGCGAGAGTCAAGAAGAGATGAAGGTGTATTGCTGAGTGCTGACCCGCACTGGCCACTACAAGGTAAGACATCGTGGAAGAGTAAGGAAGCCGAATGCAGGCCGGACAAAACGAGGCGAGAGGAGATGAAAGAGAAGAGAGACGGGAGATCGCACTCCACTCACTTGCGTGAGCAGCTGCGGCAGTCGTAGTAGCCGGCCGGGATGAGGTCCCTGAAGTTGAAGTTGATGACCGTGCGGCCCTTCGCGCCGGGCGTGGGGATGACCGTAGGCGTGGGCGTCCGGGTAGGCGTGGGCGTCTGGGTAGGCGTGGGGGTAGGCGTGTGCGAGGCAGCAGGCGACGCCGAGGGCGACGGCTCGGGCTGCCACGAGGGCAAAGGCGACGACGAGGGCGACGGCTCGGGCTGCCACGAGGGCGACGACGAGGCCGACGGCTCGGGCTGCCACGAGGACAAAGGCGACGACGAGGCGACGGCTCGGGCTGCCACGAGGGCGACGACGAGGCGACGGCTCGGGCGCGTATGAGGGCGACGACGAGGGCGACGGCTCGGGCTGCCACGAGGGCGACGATGAGGGAGTGGGACCCGGGGGGTCACCGAACTGTGTGCGGGTATTGTTTTTGTGGTACGCACACACGACACACACCAACGTCACCAACGTCACGTCAAAGCCGGTGGTGGCTCAAGTAGTAGAAGAAGAAGAAGAGATGTACCCAGAAGTGGATCTCGGCCACGTTGTTCTCGCGGTTCGCCTCCGTGGTAACGTAGGGTTCTTCGCCCTCGATGATGTGGTTGGTGAATATGACCAGGTAGTACTCGCCGGGCAACAGGCCGCGATCGTTCATGTTGATCGTGTGGCTGTGCGTGTAGCTCTCCCCGGGCTCCAAGGGAGAACTAATAATGTTTGAGGCTGTGGCCCCACACGCAGTTGGGGTGAGTGACCAACCACGAGAGAAAGCTGGTTAATTGGTGGGGGTGTGTGTGTGTGATGACGTACCATCGGCCCACGTGATGTAGTTGGTGCCCAGCTCGCGGTCCTCTGGGAGAACTGGTGCGGAAGAGATATGGTGAGTTTCACGCAAGTGGGAGGTGGCAGAAGAAAAGAAACAAATGGGGAGGGTTGGGGGGGGGGGCGCGGAGAGAGCGTACCCGACGCCTGGAAGATGTAGACGTCGTCGTACCAGGCGTTTGTGTCGGTGACCGAATCGCCCAAGTTGGTCACAGAGTACTCTACGACGAACCCCTGGTCCAACGGCACCGGGTTGGGGTTCAGATCTGTGCACGCACACACACACGCGCACACGCACACACGCACATAGAGGGGATGGGTTGGTGAGTGGGTCGTGCGGTGGGTTGGGACGGCGGGCGCGTACCAATGCTGGTGATTTGGAGGTCGGGCGATTGTTCCTCTCCGGTCACGTCGAACTCGAAGATGGCGATGGTGTCGTTCAGGTTATCGACGTCGGGTGCCACGCCATAGGCGGCGAGCTGGAGGATGAGGTAGTAGGTGCCCGGTGCGTCGAGGTCGAGGGTTCCCATGATGCTGGATGAGACGGGCTCGCCCGCGACAAAGTCGGTGCCCATGAAGATCTGGTCCACGGACCACCCACTGCCAATAACTCCTGCGCCGGGTTTGGTTCTCTTCTTCACGTACCGCGAGCGTATGTGTGTGTGCGGTGGTGGGTGTGTGCGGTGGATAGTATGCGATGTGTACCGCTAAGGTCCGGTGTGGTGGAGAGGTAGAGCTGGTCGCCCCACTCCAGCTCGGTGGCCGTCTCGCCGTCGTTGACGAAGGAGTAGTCGACCATGAAATTGGAGTCCTTGGTCCATACGCCGTTTTCGGGCTCGGCAGAGAAACTCACCAACCGCAGCTGAACATTCTCGAGCTGAACCACGACACCACAGGCGGCAATGAAAGATGAGCCATCATCCTCCTCATCATCGTAGTCGTCGTCATCATCATCAATGAAAGGCACTCCACGAGAGAAGGTCGTACCTGCTTCTTCGACAGGCTCACGCTGCGGGCCAGACGCTCGGCTGCGCCCCCAATGGACCAGTGTCAGCGCTAGGCAGGGGGAGGGAATGAGAGGAGTGGGGCGTACGGGTGTAGCGGGGCACGTTGTCGCGGTTGGAGAAGCCGAACACGACGCGGCCGTGGACGCCCATGTTGGTCCACTCCTTGCCCTCCGCCACGAACGACGCCGACAGCTTGATGTCGTCTGCGCAGCCGCGTCAGCGGGTGTGCGGTTGAGTGGTGGTGGTTGGGGGGTGTAAACAACGTACCAGCGCTGAATCCAATGACGGGCTTCTCGGTGGTGGCGGGGTCGAGAAGATCTCGCCCATGAGCCAGTCGAGCGACGAGGGCGTGGCCGGGAGGTACTGGCCGCCGTAGAAGAACACACCGTAGCTGATCATCGTCTCACCATCCATGATGAAGATCGCCGACACGCTCATATCTGGAGATGGTGACGATGTTGTGATATTAGTGAGGGTGGGGATCAAACAACACTGCGCTCGATATTCCACACTGTACCGCTGTAGGCCCAGGTGATGTTGAGGCTCCTCGTGGGGGTGATGACGGTTCCCGGGAACGCCTGTTCGACCATCTCTACGGCCTCGACCGAGGGGTAGTTCTGGAGCGTGGCCGTGATGTCGACCTGGCGCAGGCGCGACGTCCAGTAGGGCGCCACCACTGTTCGTTCGCCATTGAGATCCAACATCAACATCAGTCAATGGTTTGGTGGTCGATTGAATTCTGTGGGGGGTGGTGGGGAGACCTCGGGGGTGTCGGCTCCGGGGCTGGTAGGGGGTCTGCGGGTTGGTGGGGTCGAACTCCTTGGAGGGCTCCTCGAAGAGGAGGAGACCGTTGGAACAGATGTAGAGCTGCTTTGCCTTGCTGTTGAAGAAGACGAACGGGTCGTCGAGCAGGGAGATGGAGGTGGCGCACGAGTGCTCGCCCTCCGCGAAGCTCGCGCGCACCTCGCGACCGCCTTCAACATTCGCCGAGGCGAGGAGGCAGCAGGCGAGGAGCGCCAGCGCTGAGAAGAGAATCGACGTCCTCTTCATCATGTGTGGCCCTTGGGTTGGTTTCGCTCGACTCACTCCCTTTGGCTTGCGCAAGCGCGGGTGTGGTCTACCAAGGTCAGGCCCGACAGACCTGAGAGAGATAGGCCAAACGCAAAAACACCAGAACGAACGGGCGAGTTGCCATCTATAGATGGGCCGAGACAAGGAAAGACATGGAATGTGAGGCATGACTTAACTTTTATGGGCTTGTTACACGAACAATGGATGAAGCGGGTACCCGCTTGCCTTGTTTGTCGATTGGGCTGTCACGCAGCCACCAGCTCTCGCGGCCATTGTCGCCTGTTGTTGGTAAGTCTTACGTTGCAGTGCAATTTATAGAAGAGATGGGGCGAGGCCTGGAGAGGGTGGTGGTTTCAACCGCCGAGAGTCTGTTCTTTGGCTTCGAAGCCGGAAGGAAAGAGCGAGGCCAACAAGTCGTCGATGGCCTTTTCGGCCACCTGGTCCAACACCTTCTGCTCCTCTCGCGAGAACTTGGCCAGCACAAAGTCGGCCAAGTCGGCCGTCTTGTCCGATGGTCGCCCCACGCCCACGCGCACCCGCCTGAACTGGTCTGTGCGACGGTCATCATCGCCAGCATGGAAGAGAAGGAGGGAGCGTTAGCACGAGAGAACACGACCGAGCGGCTCCACATCGGCAAGCCGATGACGCACCTGTCCCAAGGCAGTTCATGGTCGATCGAATGCCATTGTGTCCTCTATGGTGGAACGCACTACCAGTCAGTCTCGCAACGCTTGCGAAGAAGATGCCTCGCGCGGGCAGAGACGGACGGTACGGTACCTTGCACCGCCGCCCAGACGCACGGCGATCTTGCCCAGCGCTGTTTCGACATCGTCGTGCACGACGGTCACGTCGGGTGCTTCCACTTCGTACTTGCGCATTGCTCGCAGCACGGTCTTGCCGTTGAGGTTCATAAACGTGGTGGGCTGCACCAGCACCAGGCCCTCCCGGCTCGCCACCATGCCCATAACGTTCTTGTCTCTCACAAAGTTCATGTCTGGTGGGTGGCGGTCAGCTTTTATTCGATTTTAAAAATAAAAATAAAAAAGCAAATATAAAAAATGCATAACGTCAATAGAAATAAGAGCGGAGAGCTCACCTAGCCGCTTGGCCAGCCGCTCCACGAAGGAGATGCCAACGCTGTGTCGCGTGTTGGGGTAAACCAAGTTGCCCAGCCCCACAATCTTATCGCGTGCCGAAAAGTGAGCAAAAAGAAAATGTTAAGGACATACAACGAAATCGATCGTACGATTGATGTCTTTGGTCGTGTGGTTCCCATGCTCACAACGTGTTGTGTTTAATTGAATGCGCTATGATCTGCCGCAAGCTTGTGCCTGGCGATCGGTTAGCTGAAGAAAATCGGAGAAAATGTTGTCAACCCAAATGCAGTATTTTCCTCTTTCTTTTCCTTCTTACCCTTGCGCCAATAGATTTTCCCGCCTCCCATCTGATTGCCGCTCGCAACGCAATGGGATCCCTGCTGGAAGAGTACATCGATCGTCTGTGCCTCCCTCCCTCCCTATATCTATGTGCTTCTTGTTTGTGGCTTTTTCTTCATTATCCATCCGAACATTATTTTACTTTTCTCACCCCTCGCGATTTTATTTGACTCTTCTGCAGGCACGGTCTCCATCATCACGAGTGATGCGCGAAGCATAGTGGTGCGTACATACGGCCCTCCCGGCAGAGATTTTAGACCTGGTTTTAATTCGTGCAACTTCCGATTTTGTAGGGCACTCTGCGTGGTTTCGATCAGTTCGCCAATGTCATCGTGGAGGATTCGCATGAGCGAGTATACTCAGCCCAGGGCATGGAGAAGGTGCCGCTGGGTCTCTACGTCATTCGCGGAGACAACATGTACACACTTGCCCTCCTTCCCCGCTTTCTGCACGCTACGCGCCATGCTCTCGCTCACGGCTCGCTCACCATCGCCGATGCCAGTGCCGTGATCGGAGAGCTGAATGAACAACTGGACAAGCAGATCGACTTCTCCAGTCTGCGGGCGCAGCCGCTGCAGCACGTCCTGCACTGAGAGGGCACTCTCACTCTTCCTCCTCCCTCCTGCAACAGCAACACCCACCAACACCAACTCGCTCATTCCCTCTGTCACCCAACCTTCTGTCACCCGCACGCACTGAGTACATAAATCAACACACCACGTCTCCACTCCTAAGCGAAGGGAGACTGCATCCACGCACCCACCTCACTTCGCCAAAAGATAAACAACAAAAATAAACAAATAAACAAATAAACAAATAAATATTATTTATTTCACAAAGGTGGACCACGCGAAGCACGGTCATGGTTGGCGATCTTCGTCAAGAGAGTGGTCAGGGGCAACTCCGCCCGCTCGTGGCCTCTCTCGCAATCGCTACATGGAGATGTTCTTCTTACGCCTGGCTCGTTCTGGGTTCACTCGTCGCGTAGGTGAGACACGAACTGCTTGAGGTCGCTCAACACCTGGGCGCTCTTGTGGGCGTGGTAGTTGCGGGTGTACTCGAAGATGAAGGTGCCCAGCCTGTGGTCAAGCTTGAGCGACTCCAGGTAGTCGTAGATCTTCTCCTGCAGGCCGTCCGAGAGCTGCTCGAAGTGGACCGAGTTCTTGCCGTCGGCGCTGTACAGCGTGTCTGTAAGGTATGCGTGTGCGGTGGTGCGTGTGCGTGTGTGGTGATGAGTCCAATCGGCCGATGGCGAGTGTCAGTTGATGTGATCGGGGGGTTAATGTGCCGATGAAGAACCGGCTCTCGAATGCCGAGCACGCGAGAGACATGCTGCTGACCTCCTTGTCCTGGGATAGAAGAGAAAGCGAGATCAGGGAGATGCTTGGCATGCGTGGTTGACGATCAAACAACACACATCCACTTGGTACCATCTTGTCGACGATGGTGATCTTGACTTCAGTGGGAATGTATAGGTCCTGCACGCCCATGAGGGGGTTGATATCCTGCGCCTGGAATCCTTCGGCGGTTTCCTCCTCATCCTCCTCCTCGCTCTCCTCCTCTTCTTTCTCCTCACCCTCTTCGTTCTCACCTTCCTCATCCTCCTCCTCCACCGCAAACGAGAGCTCGACACTGTTCCAGATATGTGGTACGCACAATGAGCCTGTTGTACCTTCATTGGTCATGTTGTGTGTGTGTGTGTGTTAAAAAGCCGTACACTTGCTTGCCCTGGGTGCGCTTGAGGGTGGCGACGCCGTCAGACACGAAGAGCTTGTAGTTGAGCTCGGCCAGGTACTCGGCAGCGGGGTCGAGCGCCGAGGACGACTCCTTGACCTCCTGGTCGATGAGCTTCGTCACTTCCTTCTTAAACTCGCCCAACGGCAACGGATCCGCTTCCGCCTTCATCTGTGCCATCGAATCTGCTCAGCAACGCCAAATGGAGTGAGATGGTGGCGCCAGCATGGTTTCAACCATTTCCATTGATCAGAAGAGAGCGTACCTTTGCCAGAGCGAGTGGCGATGCCGCGAATGAATACCGTCGTGGCCAGTGTGCGCAGTCGGGTGGAGTGCACGAGGTGGGGCGCGGCGGCAGCGGTGGATGAAGATGAGCGGGATGCGGAGATGGCGAGATGGTGATCGAACGATGCCTCCTGGTGATGCAGGTGCCGCGCTCCGCGTAGCGTGGGGTAGCGCTGGCCCATGCTAATCATCATCTTGGAAAAATTGTTGCGATTCTTAGCTGCATTCGAGGTCCGATTGAGCAGCATTTCCGAAAATTGTGCGATCCTTGCTGATCTTGTGTGTTTCGTGTTTCAGATCTGTGTCGTTCGTTTCGTTCCAATCTGATCGCCCACTCGAGCTAAGTAAATCACTCGTCGATTGCACACAACACGGCGCAACGCAAACGTTTCTTTTTCCGTGCCGGACTTGGCCTTCTTCCTCGAATTTAGCGGTCGGCATGTTGGGATCAGGGCTTGATCGCGGTAGGCAGCAAGCCCCGGTTCAAGCCAAATGCTGTTCTCGAACGGAGGCGATGCAATCGAAGAAGAGCTCCATGATGAGTGGAGGCGCGTCGGCTGACGCATCGAGCTCTTTTCGCATCTCCGCGAATACGCTGCCCACCTCGGTCAGGAACAGCTTGTCCTCGCGCCGGTAGGCGACTGCCAGCCGCGCCGTAGCTGAAAGTCGTGGATCGTGCGCCAGCATAGCCGCGTCCTCCTGTGTTTTGTGTGCCGTGTGCCGTGCGGTGTGTTTATGTGTGCTTGCGGGCTGAGTCAGGCTCCAATGCGAAAGCCAAGCAGTCATTCGGTTGCTTACGAACCTGAGCGGTGATGGGGTACTGTGACAGGAGCTCCTTCACGCAGCCCGCTATGGTGTCGTACACCATCAGCTCATTCTGCACGGAGACGGGGTCGGTTTCGAAACACGTCGACTCTGTGTGCGAGTCTGTAGGAGGGCACCGGTGAGACGAGTGAAAGACGGAAGGTTACAAGACGGCGGATTGCATTGTGCCGCGCGAGCGAAATGGAATGTGAACCGGTGAGCGGCAGGTGGTACAACCGCAAGGCCTGGACCAAGTCAAGCGGGAACTCTTCACTTTTGACTGGGTACGTCCTGGAAGGAGAGCGCCACCTTTGTGAGCAACACGCATCACAACCACAAAGGCACTAGGCCACAAGAGATCAAGTTGAAGCCCTCACGTACTGTTTGGCGAGTCCTCGTTGGGTGAGTGCACGCGTCTTGGTGAGCCGCTCCACTTCGTCCGGGCAGATTCGTGCTATTGTGGTCTCGTCGAGCCTGATCTCGGTGTATTTGTTATAGTTGTCCTCCACCATCATGGCGTACGTCTTCAGCAGCTCGAAATTGGAGTCTGTACAGTAGGTGATGAACACCTGCCGGTGGGTGGTGGGTGGTGGGTGGTGGGTGGTGGGTGGTGGGTGGTGGTGGTGGTGGTGGAAGGGGACTTAGCTGGGAGTGGGAGCAAGCAAGTGTATGCCCCAGTGGTTCAAATACAAGCACCCGGGCGTACCTGTTCGCCCTCGGCGTAAGGCTGCTGGACGTGTACGATGAATGTTTGAGTCTTGTCGTCAAAAGTGTACTTCGATACGTTGTCGTTTGTGAGCGAGTGATTGATGAGGTCCGCCATTGGCACCATGTGCGGTTCCCACGTCTGTCAGAGGCCACCAAGCCACACAAAAAACCGAGAGATAAGCACAAGTGCGTGCACGATGTGGATGCTGTGCACTTGCGTACGTCTTTGAGATCAAAGTGCCAAAACGCCCGCGAGGCGATCATGGACAGCACCCACTCGAACCTGGCCAAGGAGTAGGAGGGCTCCAGCGATGAATCGTCGTCGCTCACACCGAATGGCCGTGGGTATCTCTTTGGCGCCGTGCCCATAAAAGAACGTCAGCAGGGAGAGCATGTAGCTGCAAATCGAAGCGCGCGAGTACCCGGACTATGGGCACGATGTGCTCAGTGTGCCAGTCGCGCGCTTGCTTCTTCTGTGCCAAGACGGCCGCATGCAGCGGCGAGCCGGCCAGCAGCTGCATATCCTCGTCAGCCCAGAACATGGGGAGGTTCACCCGCGAGGGCAAAGCATCTATGGTAAGAAGAAGAAGACGACGACGAAGGACCGAAAGATGGTAAGGTGCCGATGATCGCCTGTGTAGGGTGTGGGTGTGCACACACCAAAGTAGGGCCGCCAGAAGGAGTCGGGCTTGCGCAGCTCGTGCAGCATGAACAAAGCGAGGGGCAGCCTGTTGTCCACGGCGTCGAGCGCGGGCTTGACCGCTGCAAACACGCTGCCGACGTCCTCGGCGCGCAGCGCGGCACCGGCATCGAGAAGCAAGCTGAACGGCACTTCCAAGATCCTCTCACCTTGCTGCTGCCCATATCAAATTAATAAAAACATTTAAATAAATTAATAAACATAAAATAAAAAGGGCGAGGTGCCTTGCCTTGATGGGCCGAAGAGCGAGGGTGGCCCTTCCCTGGTCTGCGTCAGCATCGCCAAAGTCGTGCACGGCGAGTGGGTACTTGCCAACACCATTTGCCTTCACCCACGCCTCAAGCGCTCGCGTGTGGCCCCTTCGTTCCTCCATGCAAAAATGACAAAAAGACAAAAAATAAAAAATATAAACTCGAAAAAGAAAAAAAAGCGTAAAACTTGCATATTAGTTATTGATTTACGGAGGTAATTAGCGCATGTACAGAGGGGTGAGGTGAGGGATCTGAGCAACACCATGAAAAGGGAGCACTACTACATACGAACGGTTGAGCTGGTGTTGATCTTTGCCCTGGTGCTCTACAACATCAAGACTTGGCTCGATCACCGCTTCGCTGGTGATGGCAAAGACCCAGACATCCTCTTCTGGGTACCTCACCCCAGGCACACCTGCACGACACCTCAATCTAATGATCGAACAACGATTGCCTCTAACGATCTTTCTCCAATCTTCTTAATTGCAGGCATGGGCCGAGCTGTTCCAAGATTGGCAGCTGGTTGCGTTGCAGCTGGCCCTCCCAGCATTCTTCATCTGTGCCGGATGGAAGACGGCCCTCTCGTGCAACGAGATCGTGCAGGCCCGAGCGAGCGGTGGCGAGTCTCTGCTGCTGGCTGGCGATGTGAGCATGGACGGCTCCGGCTCGCGATCGAAGGCCACCCCCACCTGGCGAGCGCTGCTCTTGGCCAAGGCCAAGGAAGAGGCCATCCTTCTCGCGTGGTACCTCGGCGGCTCCCTCGTCCTCTTCCTTCTCCACTTTCTCGGCCTGGTACGCGCCCAGCTTCATTCACGCGCGGCCATCATCATTATCATCATCAGCTGACCAGCAACGCACATGCACGACTGCAGGGCACCAATGAGCAGTCCGGGGGCGGCATGTGGGACTACGTGCTGCTGACGGCCAACGGCCATCTGCTCTACTTTTCGGTGTACATATCATTCGTGCGGCTGCTCTGTCTGCCCTTCGTCATCGTCGCCAAGGCGTGGAGCGATGAGTCGGCCTTCCTCTCCCCGCAAAACCACACAGCGGCCGAGGTGCTTCTCCACTCGCTTTGCACGATCGCTCTATGCGTGCTCTGACATCACTCAACCGTTTTCTCACTTCACCCCATCTGACAGTCCCCCTGGCAGCCCTTCTTGGCTGGCGCCTTCGCCATCACGCTGTGGTCTGCCCTCGGCTGGACGGGTAACACATCTGCTTGCTGGCCCGCGTCATTCATCCCACTTTCGCTTTTTTGTCGTTTACCCTTTGCGTTCCGTGCGTGCTGCTCTTCCAGCTTTGTTGATCGTACCGGTTGTGGGTTTGGCGTACTACTTGCACATCAAGGGTCAAGGCAGACACCTCTGGCTTGCCCTTCATCGCCGGTGCGTGAATGCCACGCTTTGCTGCCACCTATCGCTAACCTGCAAGGTAGCAACGTTGGTGTCGCTCACGGTGCGTGCCTCCCCCTCCAATCAGGTACACTGCCGTGCTCGCACGCGGTAATGACGAGTACCGATGGGGTCTGGTGATGTGCACCGGGCTGCTGTGTTTCATGATCCTGTGGGCCAACGCCTACTTCGACTCGCTGAGCCTCAACCTGGGCCTCATCCTCATCTTTGTGGTGCCGATCTACTTCCTCTCCGTGTCCTGCGCCTCGGCACCCAGCGCGCAGACCACCTCCCTCGGCAAGACGCTCGTCAACCCCGCGCTGCTGGTCTTCGTGGCGATGATCAGCGGCTTCCTCGTGGTCATGACCGCACTGCCCGACATCCGCTTCGCGCCCGAGAGTCGCCTCGGCCCGGCCCTCTTCTCGCTGCTCCTGCCGGGATCGGTCGGCGTCGCGATCGCACAGTACTTCTTCACGCTCACGTTCCACATGTGCCTGTTCCTGCTGGGCGTCTATTGGATGCTGGTCGAGGAGCGCATCCCGAGCGTGCCCACCACCTGGCGCAACCTCGCCTCGGTCGTGTTGACCAAGCTGATCCTCCTCTTATGGAACCCGATCATTCCCTCGCGCGGCACCAACCTCTACTTTGTGGGCGGGCTCTCGACCTACAGCTACCAGGTTGGCCGCTTCTTGTCGAGGTACGTGCATAGCTGCCCGTGGTGACGCACCGGGGAGTGGCGCTCGGGCTCGCCCCGCCCTGTTTGACTCACATTTCGCTCTCTGGGGCGACTTGTGCACAGCCTCGCGGGCTTTTACTTCACGTTGTGGTTTCTCACCCTGGCGAAGACCTGGTGCGATCGACCCAACACCAGGTACACCACGACCTCTTTAGTTGTTGCGTCTTCTTCAGTTGGGCACGGCTGACGACGCACTACGTACTGGGCAGTCCTCTCGACAAGGCCGTGTACAGAAATCGATTTGGCTTGTTGTATCTCCACCCCGCACTGATGGTACTACTTCGCCCAATTCTCGCCTTTACACGCAACACTCACCATGACACAATCTTTTGTTTTGTTTGGTCTGGTCAGCACGTTTGCGGATCGCTCGTCGTCGTGCTCCAGGAGTGGTTCCCCGTGCTCAGCGCGCCACCAGCCACCATGGTACTGCCCACAGCCAACAAGACACGGGACACGCGTCTCATGGTACTTTGTTGCTCACTATTGCGATCCTGGTGGTCATTTCATAGGCGGTCATCTGGCTGGCGGTGGTCGGCCTGGGCTGCACCATCTCGAGCTTCCTGCCGCGCGCATGGCTCGCCGCACCCAAGTACCGACGGCTCATCAACGACGACGTACCCTCCCACAGCCTCATCTGATAAGGCTCTCTTATTCCCCCCACCTCTCCTCGTGCCACCTTTATGAACATCGAACTTATTCCACGCCATCAACACTGTCGGGCTGCGGGTGGCCATGGGCGTCGAGTGCATGTGTGTAAGGTATGTTGAAGCTGGGCTGTACATGTTTGGGCAGAGTGCCTGCGCTTCGGCACACTAGGTCGGGTGTTGATAGCGCATGGCCAGCTCGCGTTCGTGGTAGAGAGACGTGTGGTCCACGACGATCACGAGCGCCACCACAAGGGCCGTGCCGAAGAAGACTGCACCGATCTGGCGGGCAAGATTATGACGTTGTGAGTTGCAGACGCCAAGCCAAGGATCTGGAGTGTAGAGTACCAGATGGAGGAGCCACGATGATTTGCATCGTGGAGCGGGGGCGAGAGGAGCGTGATCGTCTGCAGCGAGCTGAGCGTTGAGCTGCTCCAGCTCAAATCGGCGCTCGTAGAGGCGGGCGAGCTTGGTGGTCCGCTCCTCCTTGCCTTTTCGAATTGCCTCCTTGAGATTATCTCGAATGTGTTCGAGCTTCAGGAGCAGCTTGTTCTTCTCCTGCTCCCCTTGCTCATCTTCGCTGTCATCGTCGCCTTCTTCAAAATCAGATTCATCCGATTGTACGCCTTCATCGGCGCGAACTCGTCGCACCTGCTCCGCCACCAAGTGTGTGCTCTCCCCCAACCCCTGAACAAGATCTTCAAGTTGAGCCACCTTCTCTTCCATGATCCATCCTGTTCCGTTTCTCCCGCCAAAAGCACCACTCCCAAATGACAATTAAAATGTGAAGTAAGAATAATGTCCCGGTCCGCCCAACTTATTTTTACCATTTATTTCTATTTTCGCTTCCTTGCGCGGAAGCTGCTCTTCTGCTTGCGGCCCAACACTCGACGTGGCGTGAGTGTGGGAATGGGACGGTTCCTTTTCCTTCTTGCCTCTTTATAAAAAGGGGAGAGACACCCAACAGCCACTACAAGCACAACCACACCATGACCAACGCATCAGCTGCCGTTCCGACCTTCCTTGAGAGATTGACGTCCTACCCGCTGGTGAAGTACAGCTGCGAGACGACGCTCCACTTCTACAATGAGGCCAAGGAGAAGAATAACTACGTCAAGCGTGGCCTCGAGCTTGCCGAGGTACCCCCAGTTGCATCTTCTTGGCTTAGACGCCTTATAATAACATCTTTCCATCATCCAAAGACTTCAGTGGGCACCGTAGCCGCTTCACCTCTGGTGTTGAACGTGAGCAAGTCGTGCGAGCCTCTTTTGGCCAAGGCTGACCAGTTTGGCTGCAGCCAGCTTGACCGAGCCGAAGTCAGCATCTTCAAGCCGGCCGCACAGCTGTACACGACCGCCAACGCCACCCTCGCTTCGAGCAAGAAGATCGTCGAGGAGAAGGTCGCCGACAGTAAGAAGCTTGTTGTACGTTCTTCCTCCGCTCATCCGTAGATGCCATACCGCTGCATGCTCACCTTCTGCTCGTTCAGACCGAGAAAGTGGTCCAGCCCATCAGCGCCACCTACCAGCACCTGGTGGCTCTCCCCACGGTGCTCACCAACCAGGTGTTCGACTTTGCCCAAGACTCGGTCGACTACTACCTCCCCGAAGAGGCCGACAGCGAAAAGGACGCCAGCCTTGCGCAAGCCGAGGAGGCGGTCCCGCAGCCGCAGGAGGCTAACAACAACGTCATCAAGACGAAGAGGTACCACATCTGTGCACTGGCGCGCTTCAACTTCCCTTGCTTGTGCTTACCAACTCCTTCTTTTTCCCTTCAGCGTCTGGGCTCGCAGCACCACGCTCACCCAGTGCGCCTACCGCCGTGTGCAGCGCAAGGCATCCCACCGCGTGCGCATCGCCAGGCTCTATGGCGAAAGCGTCCTCACCAAGTCGCCCCTTGCGGTGAGCGTCGTCAACTACGTCAGGACGCGTGATCCCGAGATCAGGGACAACCTGGTTCAGCAGGCCAAGGCTACTGCCACTGTACGTGTGCTCGCCTCTCAACAAGGAGTGGTGCGGAAAGTGGTGCTAACGTGAGAGAGTACTACAGTACTACACGGACAAGACCAAGGGCTTCGTCGCTGAGAGGCCGCTCTTCAAGCAGGCGACTGCCTTTGTTGAGCCTTACCTCGCCAATCTCTCGTACCAGTCCTTCTATTCGCTCCTGCTGACTCTCCTCGCTACCGTTGCCCCGACCAAGAGCGCCGAGCAGCAATCCACCGCAACCTCTTCATCATCCTCCGCCGCTGTCGAGACTGAATCCGCCGAAGAGAAGGGCAACACCGACGACACCGACGGAATCGAAGAGGAGGAAGAGAATGGAGAGGAGGAGACTTCGGGTCCCGCCGAGCCCGAGCACCCCAGTGACGAGGAGGAAGAGGAAAAGGTGCAGAAGAACGTGGACGATGACGACCTCGCCGAGGACGTGGCGGAGCACGACGAGCGCCCGCAGGCCAAAGCTGACCAGCTTATCGACGACGACGGCGACGATGACGACGATGACGAAGTCACCGTAGACTACTGAGCCGCCCTTCCCTCACACCCACCTCTTGTCTGCCAGCTTAACGCAGCACAAAGAACCAACAAAGGACGAGAACAAAGTTGTTGTCACTACCAAAGCACCGCGATTCCGCCGTTGCTGCCATCATCAGTGCTAATTGCGCGCTGTCGCCGTTTGCT